TATTAGCGATTTCCTACATCCATCCTTGAAAACTTTGGGTGACAAACTATCAGGTCCTGCTTCTTTGCATCTTTTCAGATTCGATACAGCTTTCTTAACTTCAAGAACAGTTGGAGGGTCGATATTCACAACCCATTCAGGTTCAGGCTGGATGCTAGGCAACTGAAGCGTTACAGAAGGTCAGTTGAACTGTGCTTCAGAAAGTTCTTCTCAACATTCTAGCTGCCTATCCTGGGAGGTTATCAGGGTTCCATCCTTTTTGGTGATGGTTTCAACAAACATTGTCTTCTTCTTACCGGTACCCTTAGTAACCCTCAATAGTTGGCGAGTGTTACCCAACGCTGATGCCTTTTCCATCTTGCTCTCACCACCCACCACTGCTCGCGATCGACGCTGAGACTCTTGGTCAACTTACGTTTAAGTCTTTTTCGCTCTTCATCATGGTTAGAGCCATCTAGAATCAGTCTTCTTGCATTAATCAGTTCAGATGACGTCACGGAAATCCAATGACGTCTGCTAATCTTTGGGTGCAGGTTACCAACTGTCTTTGCTTTTGTTTCTACAGCAGACTTAATATCGCACCAAGTTTCCTTAGGATGAGCATTGCTGTCACGTTCAGACAAATGTTTAGCTAACTCTCCCCTGAATGGGTACTTAACGTTCTCATCTCCCAACCGAGCATAGAGAGGCTTCACTGCTGCCTGTTTCCCGAGACCAGCAAGCTGCAGACACACAAGCCCCGTACTAGCATACGATCGGAGTCTAAACGGGGTTCTAGGAAGGCATCAATCCTCCAACGATGGGTTATAGCAATGTGATTTATCTGTGTCCATCGCCAGTTTGAAGTCGGCGGACCCCATGTAAGATTGCGTCTCTGTGCCTGAAGTTAGTGCTGGTCAGAAATAAGTGATCATCGGAACACAGCTGCAACAAACGATCGTCGTTCTCGGTTCGTATGCATGCGATTCCGTAAATACGTTGACGTCACCTGCCATTATGATTAAATCTGAATATTTTGCTCTCTGTAGAAAAATTGACAGCTTCTCATAGAATTTATCCTTCGCACTATGTAAGCCACTGTCGGTGGGTGAGTAGGTAGAGGTTAGAAATTGGCTTCGGTTGGTCTCACGATCCTTCCTAGTTCTTATAGGTCAACCCAGTCGATCAGCACATAGTCAGCTGTCGACTGGTACACAGTTGAGAGGCGCACTTTCTGCTCTACAACTCAACTGTTGGATCTCCGGATACTCGTAAGGTGAATTTTGAAGATTCAGTAGTATGGCTAGGCGAGATCAATTTGATAACCACACTCGCGTCCTGTATGTGTTTCAGGGACACAGCACATATTTACAACTAGGGATTCCAGAGTTTTAGCGAACGATGCTCGCTGTCCAATTTGTCATAGAGTTCGGACGTTGAAAGCTCTTACATGAAATCAGTGGAGGGCGGCATCATAAGAGACTGGGAATGAGATTTCAACGGCTTTGATCATTGACAATGGTCGCAGAATGGAATTTTAGGTAAGTTGTAAGAGGCCTAATATTAGTATCAGGAGGTGAAGGGGATGGAGGAGATAAAGTTGAGGATAGGTTATGTTTGATTGGCTTTTGTTTACTGCTGGAAGCACGTGGGTGCTTTACATTTCCCGGCTGTCTACACCCTAGAAAGCCAGTTCTTCTTGAGTTATCTAAAGAGAAAGGATAGTGTGCGATCATAGAGCCCAAGAGACATTTCTTTGAGGCTTGTCATGCACGGCTTAATTGGATCTATCGGATCCTTAGGCCGACGAAGTGTGTGTGTGTGAGTGTGTAGGTTGGAATGCCATCCTAATTCCAGAGATATGAAAAACTTTACCACCAATAAAATCAAAGAATCTGAGATGAGAGGACTATGAAAAGTAGATGTTGAAAGCAGTGCGATTATAATGATGTGATTATGAGGAATAGTTTGTGCTCGAAATGTCATCTAGTAAATGATGCTGTATCACTGTGCTGTATATATCAAATAAACAAATGTAATGTGGAATTACATCCTACCACAGTGCCCCAGTTTTACACTTGTATTATTTTGAAACAACATGGTTTCCAAGAAACACACCATACAGTCATACAACTCAAGTCGGTATACCTTGTACTAAGCTGTGAGCTACACTTATCGTGTAAGGACTTATGGTTTGGTATTGCTTGGTTGCGTGGGGCTTGATCCCTAGACGCATCGCTTGAAAGTCAATTTTCTCAACAAATGAGCTACATCCTCATAAATACTGTACTTCATTACATACACAAAGTCTGCATAAGGACCATGTAACTTTTGCTGGTCAATGTACTACTAAAATGGACAAGTCATTTGTGTTTAGCGGTCATGCATAGGTCCAGTAAGACAGTCTGTGAGCCAAATAACGTACTGGTCAACAATTTTTAATAAACAGAAGCAGTAAGTTAGGATTTCGGTAATTCTAAGGGGCTAGCTGCATCAGTAGTATTATTATCTTGCACATCGTTGTTTGGTGCTAATTCACATGGTGAAGAGGAGTATCGAAGCTCACCTCTTTCCAAAAATGATGTAAGCATCCTAGCCAGGAGACCAAATTACTCGTTTGAGATTTTTTATCAGTCTGGGAATGTTCTATCATTTTTGGAACAAAGCGGTAATCTTCATTTGTGAGGAAGGTGTATGTGACGAATGCGGAAATCGTTTTAGAATGAACCTGTTACCAATGATATCTTAAATCTACTGACTATACGAAGCATGTGAGAAACTAACTGACTAGGAGTAAGGCCATTTATTTTCACTTCCTGTGTGCACTGACCGCGTAATCACCCTTCGCCAGTTGCTTGAAGATTATTATATGTTTTTTACATACCACCCATCGTTATATTCCTTGACATTTGATCTGCTTTTAATTTGTTGAATAGAGCTTGTTGGGTGTTGCAGTAGAGAAAAGTGTTATTGTAAGGTTTACTAACACCTTGAACTCCTACATACTTCAAGTAAAGTAAAGTAATGCAAATCTCAGTTCCCATTGTCACTGACTTAACCATCGTTTCAACTTCAGGAATATTCTAATGGTTGTGTAAATCTGTTTCCTGAAGAACTACTTTTCACCGTTTCTAAGGTGAAAAGTAGTTCTTCAGGATGATATCATGGTGATGATATCCTTTCACCGTAGAATAACATAAAAGTTGTTGAAGTTGAGCTTAGTCAGTTGACTATCAGTCACCATAAAATTATGAAATGTGCTGTCGAAATGTACAGTATTTTTTACAGATCACCAAGGACACTGACTATTGACCATGAACTTTTGTTGTTGTAGTAGTTGTGATCAAAAAGTTTGTATATTTGAACAGCTTTTTGTGGTTGTTACTCAAGGTATGAAAAATGAGATTATTGACTGTAATGGCTAGCAAACTGATCTTCTATGTTCAACGATTATGATTAAATTTGATAGGAAACCTGAGTTATGACACTATTCGAGGCTATAAAAAGTCTATGAGCCAATAGCTTCCTGAGATATTAATGATGGAGGGTGGCTAACAGTAGAATCCAGGACATGCGTTTCGTCCCATTTTTAACTCGTCAGCTGGATGTACCTGCCTCCCACTAAACAATATTGTTCCCGCGAAGATTCAAACTCAGAGTCGAGCGCTTCAAGCTCCAGAGGGTTATCCACCAGGCCACTGAGTCACAATAGTCACTCGTTGTGCAACGGGTATATTTTGTAAGACGTTGCCCCCTCTTTGATTTGATCGAGTTGATCGGTTTCTACTGGCATAAAGGCTTCTAGGCGGATGCCTCAATATTGCCTATAATTTTCAGTCTTGAAACACACCGCCGGTGGTCTGCTTGAACCCTTGACCTGCCGAATGTATGTATTAAATATTTATAGAGAAGAGATAATTCAGCGAAGAAAATTTTCTTTTTCGACGATATCATATCATAAACATAACAGTCCATTATAAAACAATAGGGTATAATTACATTACTAACCAAGTTCTACGGAAAACCGAATCAAGAATGCAAAGTAGTTGCGTAATAATCTAAGACAGTAGAAATATAGAGGAAGGCAAGGAGTTTGACAAGGTGAAAATTGTTCGTAGATACGAAACGCAAATATTGAGTGTCGACTTGAAAGATAGGCGTAAAGAAGGTGAAGAAGGAGACAAGGGTCATAATGAAGGTGATAATGATAAACTAATTAATTATAATGAGATCGAAAAAAATGAAAGTTTTAAGACCATGGTAAGATGAGAGATTGAACATACTTGTTTTGCACGCAGAGATCAGGCTTGAATTGATGAATTGCCAGTGTCTCCACTATGCACAACTGTAAAAGACGTACTCCTTTTGAACAATTCCATCTGACACGATAAATGGCATTGAAGGAGGATTCTGGTCTAGCTTTATGTCCAGAGTTGACTAAATGTTCAAGAATTGAACTGTTAATTGATTTACATTCTCCCCTCGACAACCATGCAGGGATAGTGCTCCGAGATACGTTTGGAAAGTGTGCACTTTGCGCGGCCTATATAACTAATTAATGATTAAATATTAATTAAACTCCTTTCAATTTCTTTCGATCATTTAATTATATCCTCTGAACGTGTCATATACTCTTGCACTTTTTTAAAATGTTTCAAGTTACCGTTTCTCGAGTTAATAATAAAACTAAGGAGAAAGTATCACAATATATGGAAGTAGACTTCTCAGTGCATGAAACTCTATTATATTCCAGATTCTTGTACTGGCTGAATGAATTGCCACCACCAAACTTACGCTTATGTTTCTGTTGATTCTTCATTATGGACTGAACCCTAATCCTAAACTAGCTGACTGTTTCACATTATTGTCTTGAATACTATCATTATTAACATTATTCAATTCGTCTGAAGATATTGTTTTGTAAATGGCTTTGTTGAAAGAATTCTATGCTGTATTATACATATTATTTGGAATAAAACGATTATCAATAATATTTTTTTTCTCTTAATTTTCTATTCAAGATACCAATGTTGAAAGTAATTCTAGCATTATGGATAACTTGTCCATTGGTGGTTCTCAAGCAGTACTAAAATTGATTTCACATCAAGTAGTTGACTTGAATCAATTTTCGTCTAATACACCAGATGAATTAGAACAAGCTGCTGATGACGACAATAATAATCATAATAATAATAATAATACGAAAGAGAAGAAGAATAGAAAGGGAGAGTTCCACATTTATCCCTTACCAGAGGATTGGCTACTACTTGGTTTACCATCAATGAGTTCTATTCATGATCAAATTGATTTTCGCAATGCATACAGATCCTCGTATACTGACGTGGATGAGGTAAGCCTACCTTGTAACTCATCATTGTAGTGTTTTGTTTTCCTTCTAACTTGAATAACAGATGTGAACCAGTGAAATAGGTATTTATTTCGCAGTCATACTTAGCTGCAGGTCCAAACGTGCTTTGTTTACTTTGTTCTAGAGAAGCAGTTAGTGTATGGTTGACCTACTTGTAAAAATTGCGATTATTAGTCGGCCAAACTGGTCTTCACTTATTCACTGGATTGTTTTTTTTTTCTTCATTAGAATGAATCTAATAAAATAGTAATCGTAGTAATTGTATGTATTTTCATATATTGTATTGCTTTCTTCAGAAGCCTAGATCATTTAACTACAACTCCAGTTTAGCAAAATACTTACTGGCTCATTGGTTTAAGAACTGAACTTTCGACCAGGATACTCAAGGTTTTACACTGATTCCACCTACTTGGATCTCATCAGTGGGATAGCATTTCAACTCCTCTATCCCACTGGTTAGATCGAAGTATATATTTAAGCTTCTTGTGGAGATGTGACTCATTCATCAAGATAATTAACTTTCAACCAGTAGTACATTACGAAACCGAATTCACCTACCACGGTCTGAGCAGCCAGATTATATCACCATATTTTGTGCAATAGGTGAGGATGTTTGCTTACTATATGAAAGTGCAAATGGTTGCTGAGTCTAACTACACTTTTTTTCGATCTAAGCTCGCTTACATTAAGTGTAGTTCATAGCATTCTGCTCAAATTTGTGCCGGATAAACCGATTTACATAAATCCTACCGATGAAACCATCTGTTCTGCTCATGCTGACAAGTCTCAACGTCCATATTTGTTTATCACTTACTGAAGTTTTTATTTTCTAGTAATATTTTATACATTTTTTTTGTTAAGGCGGAGTGTGGGTGGGGTTGAATAATCCAATAAATCTGTGATCACGATTTTCCGAAAGTTAGTGTCATTGATTATGAGATTTATTTTGTTGATTCATTGTGTAATTTTCTTATAATCCTAAATCTTCGTTTCTATTATTTACGAATTAACTTTATTTACTCTTTCTGTATTCCCTAGACTATATTACGCTGTATCTCGCTTACATTTCATGGGCGTAATTTGACCGTAAACAGCCCTAAACTAGGCTTGGATTTTACGTTCGATGCTTCTACAACAAACAATCATCGACCTTTCAAGTGTGATATTTCACTATCTAATCCATATGGTCCTTTATATTCTCATCATTCCAACTGGTCACATTCAAATCGTCGCCGACGTCGTGGTCGTCGATACCAACGATTTTATCCTATTTACGGAAGAGGTGATCGCTACAGTTCTTCCAGTCCTAATACTAGTTATCAACATCGCAGAAATGATAATCGCAGTTCATACATACCTCGTAGAGGCCAATCTCATCGGGATCATCCTAGATACTCAAGTTCTATCAGAGGATATAAGTCATATTCTGATTCATATCGTAATAGTCATTCACAACAAGGTGATAGACGTCGCAATATTTGGGATCCAACAGAATCTGCTGATTGTCTAAAGGTTGCTTCTAAGTCTGATGTTCGTGACTCTACCTGCAGAAGTAATACACAAAAATCAGATTTATCACCTATCAAAAGTGATAAAGTCTTCAGTGAAGACCAAGTGAGTAAATTATCATCTACTTTCGTTCAATTACTTCACATTAATTAAGGTGGTTCAGTTGTAAACTTCAGTTTTTCATTTTCTATCCTTTTCACAATCCTTACAATAAACATGTGTGTGTGTGTGTGTGTGTATGTGTAAAACGATTATTCCCCTCAGTATGGTGTTTGTTTAAAAATGCGTTGACAGATTTTAAAGTAATAACCTTGAACATTAGTTACTGACAGAGGGTGTGTGGGTTTTACCAAAGTGGTCAAGAGTTGGTTTGACATTGAACTTCAAAACAACTGAATTCTTTCCAATGCAGACCATAATTTAACTTTCAAACAATGAGTCCTAGGTTCCAATCTTGCTCCACCGAATTCGACCTGGGTAACCAAGTAGTGTAGTGTCATAAGCCTTCATACAGCAATTGTGGTTCATAGACTAGGGTGTAACTACCTATTCCGAACTAAGAGTTTCATGTAAATTATTCTTGTGCTAGATATGAAGTGTCCTGCGTTGTTACATGAAATAGCTTTTGTCCAGTTCAGTACAAGCGAGCGTCACTTAGGTGCTTATTCAGTAGCATTCAATGAATATCCACAACGTTTTGGGGACAGATCCTTAGGAAGTCCAAACCACTTTTATTTGTTTATAAATAATTTGTTGCCACAGTAAACTTTCTTGATAAATTCAACTATGAAAACCAAGTTCGATGTACTATTATTTTCGCTCTATTGATTTTCATTGTCATTCGGCCTTTATTCAGCCTTCCTACTTGACCACTATTCATTTTCTTATCCTTTATCTTCATGAATTTTCATATACATACATATGACAAGTGTATATGTGTAATCAGATAGTTCGAAATGTGTTGCGCAAATACCACTACACGGTTCAGACAATTTACGTCTTATTGTTTTGTCGAAAACTTTATTTACATTGATTGGTCACAGGAGAGTGACTAATTTCATATTGCCTAGTCCTATATGCTGACTGAATTCTATCCACCATCTTTGCAATATGGCCACCGAACAAGGAGGCTCAGCATTGCCATGCATATTGATAGATGTTACTTTTTCGGAGGTAATCAACAAGAAACCTTGAACCCCTAGGTTTACCTCCAACCAGCTAACAATATATATTGCTAATATCTATGTTATGCGCTAGTCGATTAAATAAACATGACTTATAGTTAGAATAAATCGTGAACACTGGTTTTTACTACGTTTCAATTGTATATGAGTATTAAGAGAAAATCCCGTTTAGTAAATGACTTCCTTCTATTCAACAATCTTTAAACTACTTACCTATTTTACTCATCAGTATATAAACGTAACTATTACAAGAAATATCCGATTGTCTATTAAGGGTCACGTGTACTGCACAGCAATTTGGTCTATTCTACTCTTTGGCTGTAAAATATCCCCACTGAACGTGGAAGACATGAGAAGACTTCGAGTGTTTGACCACCGTTACCCAACTTCATAGTATAGGCCGTATTCCGTGGTGTCACCACGTGAGCAACGCAGACGTCAGGTGCAGAGTTTTAGGGAGTAGAGGTAAATCAGTTGACGAGGTTATGAACCTTCATCAACTGAGATGGTTGAAACACGTGTTACGTATGCCTAGTCGCCAATCGCCTCGTCACACAATGTTGGCCAAAGTAGGTCCAGGCTGTAAGTAGGTCCGAGGTGGCCAGACTGAAACCTGCCACCAATGTATGAAGTCTTTGACTGTTGGTTCCAGTCATGTGGGGCGATGAAGATTAGCCGATTGGGGTCCATGGGACAAGAGGAACCAATGGTTGGAGACTAGGTGATGACTTGGCTCGGAACTGCTGTGAGTGGCCTAGATGTATACACACATTATCCTCATCTTAAGGACGCTGTACCGAATCTCACCAATTTCTCATTCTCCCTTTCTCTCTTTTCGTACTTAATATTTCTTTTGACTGAATTTTCTTTCCTTCATCTTGCACCTCACTGCCTTTTTACTTGCTGTACTGATATGAGATGAGGTGTGGTAGCTTGGACCGTTACGCAATAATGCCTGGTCCTATATTGATATTGATGATGATGATAATGATGAGTAGATGCAATAAATAATTATTAACATCCAAAATAAATCTGATTGTACCTGATGATAATCGATGGTTTTATATGTAGAAAAATGAGGATATGCGATGACTGTGTGTGTTTGATCATCGCTGTCTGCGTAAGGTCGCTTGTATCCGGTGGTAAGGAATTCCGAAGTACGACAGCGTGTGTTTAGGCATGATGGAGATCGTCATTCAATAAGTGAAGCCATCTTGAAAACACAGGGTTCAGTGACTTGGACATATGTCGCGCATATCGTCTTAACGGCTTCCATGCCGTTCATTGTTTGCAAAGCGGTAGGACTTGTTGAGAGGAGGGGGAAGATGGTCAGTGTATGACGTGTCACCTTAGAATGAAAGATAGTTTTATCGGGTTAGCATCCGTTGGTGCATCACGACTCCCTGGATGGGGGTCCGAGAGATCACGCAACTCAGTGGCTGGAAATGTGATCAGGTATACCTTAGAATTGAAACCGATGGCGGTCATGTTGTGACTTCCTTCTATCTATTCCTGCTAGTGAAAAGTATTGGATATTTCGTTTTGAATGTATCTTATTGGACTGCCCTTCTAATCATTCTATTCTTATTTTGTTTTATTTTGATCCACTGTCCTTCGCTTTATGTCTTTATAGTGTTGTCATATTATTTTGTGTAGCGCATTTCTTGGTGCCCTTTCTGGACTATGTTTGTGTTCTAATATTAATAATAATATATAGAAAGAGTTTTGCTTACTTATTGTACATCGATGTCACTTGAAAAACCATTGGCAATCAAGGAACAATGGGTGATTGTTTCTGAAAAAGACTTCTACATTAGTACTTCTATGTAGTACACATTTATGTCTTTATGCAAGACTGGTTGAGTCAAAGACAGTCAATTCTTGGTATCCAATGGTTCACATTTCTTGAATTCTATTCCATAAAATGCAAATTTTGTAGATATGAGGAAAAAAACTGTCATCTTAATCTTTCACTTCGCATACCGACAGTCAAAAATTGCAACTGATAATACACAGTGATATATGCATATCGTAATTTAAATTCAGTTAGCAAACATTGTACTTGGGTTCTTGCGTTGATACAAAATTTGTCTGTCTGTATTTCAGGATACTGTTTTGTTCACTTGGGTGTCAGTGTAACTGTGTAATCAAATGTTTTACTTTTCAACTTGTTTTCATCTTTGCGTGTTGCTAATATATCCTATTGAAAAGTGCCAGTGTAGGTCATCATTGGTCTGGGTAGGCTATGGGTCGTGTGTTGCTATCGAGGTTTGGTTACCTAGTTGGTATAATTAACTCTCACACAATAGATGTGTTGATTTCATGACATCCAAGCAGTGCTACAAAGAAAACTAAGGTCTTTTTTTGTGTTCTACTTTCAACAGCTATGTTTCACAACTGAAGGAAGGAACAAAGATGACTGCTGCCCAGTATACTGGTTTTTTTTAATATGTAGTTAGATATCTTGCCAGCACCTAATACAGCATAGGTTGGCAATTGTCAGACGAGTCGTTGATACGCAACAACAACAACTAGGCCATTCAAGCTGATGCTTATTGCGAAGTAGATGGGGGTGGTGAAGGCATTCTGCCACTTTACTGCCTACCCGTAAACTAGGAATTAATAGAAATCAGCCTTGAGGTATCATCTTGCGTTTTGACAGGTGTTATACTCGTGTTAAATGTACTCAAGGCGTATGAAAGATTGTATCTTGTCATCTTCGCCCAATAAGACAATGTCATCTGGGTACTCCAAGTCGACTAGATGCCTTCTAAGCAGTAAGTTAATCATTTCGCCTACGAAACTCAGTCAGTATATACGTGATTAATCAAAGTTACAGTTGGAAGTAGATAGTAAACATCATGTGGTTCAAACAGCTATCACTGAATGATTCTAAACGCTACCCTGACAACTACTAAAGTAACCAATTAGAATTCTGTATTTCGTAGGGAAAAAAAACTACCTTTCCAGTGTCAGTAGGAAAAAGTAATTGATTATTTCAGTCGCTGCTAGGGTGTTGTTTAAAGTCACTCGCCCTCACTAAGGCGAAGTAATAGGAATTTCGTGTCATAATTATTATTAATACTTTTCTTACCTAAAACCATGTGAAATTTTTTAGACTTTCCGTCTAATTATTCGATTAGTCTCTTGTGATTTTAAATTTCAATGAAGCACTGTTTAATAATAATGGGCAGTGGCCAGCAGTGGAATCCAGGATGCGCAGTTAAAAGACAGGCAATATCGAGGCATCCGCTTAGGAGCCCGTATGCCAACAGAGACTGATCAATTCGGTCCAATCAACGACGGTGTAATATAAGCAATAACACTGAAGCACTGTTTAGTTGTAGAGATACTTGAGCATATAATTAAGGGGTACTGATGTAAAAAGTAGATTTTGATACACTAACAACTTTACTTAACGCAGTTCATAGGCATTTAGGAGAAATATTGACCTGGACAAAAGTAAATTATACATTGATAGACATGATTAAAGTTATTGTAACTGTTATCTTAAGGGAACTTCATAATACTTTATATTTGTAATCCCATTCTTGGACAGTATTCTATACAATATACCGTAGTCATTGAATCATGGAAGCGGTCAAGTGACGTTTAGAGACTAATTACAGTTTGACTTTTCTCTTAAAATATTTTTTTTGTTTTTGGAATCAGTTTATCTTTGCGGAATACATAAATAGTATATATTTTGTCATGCATACATCCTCTGAAAGTAAGAAATCTGAATGCATAACATTGCCTTCTTTATTGTATCAAATCATTATTTGCTACTTTACTATCTTAGATTATTGATTCAACAGAAACTAATCAGTCACGTCGTGATCAAGCAATGAGAAATATGGCACGTCTTCGATTATTAAATGAAGTAGATCAGTTGGCACGTCAATTTCGTAATCAATCTCCTCTTCCATCAAATAATAATAATAATAGTATTGGTAGTAATGCTGTATTCGGCCAACACAATTCACAATCAATTATGAAGGGGGAAGAAATGTTGGAATTTGATATCACTAAAAGTTTCTTATCACCTTTCCTTGTAATCGATGCCTATTGTCTAACTAGTCATTTATCTATGATAAAACAGTTGGTCAATTCAAATCGCTTTATTCTAATTGTACCACAAACAGGTAAGCTGTTTCTATCACTTTAACCTTTAGTTTTATTCTATTTCATTGTAATCCTGACTCATTTATCCTATTATATAATTGAATATATTGCAAATTACTGTCAATTACATGTACAGAACTAAATCAGTAGTTCAGTGAATGAAGTGATTTAATGTTTCATTCTACTTATTTTTCTATTCATTCCTTTCCACTTACTTCATACTTTCATCTACTATAATTATTATAACCTTTTGTATTAATTTCTTGATTATGAAACACCTTCATATCAGTAATATCCTTTGTAGGCTGACATATCTGCTCATGCAACACTCATCTCTTTCCATTGAATGCTAAGTATGAATGTGATAACTTTAGTTGATATTTATTGCCTTTACGCTATTTTGACTTTATTATAAAGATCCCTTCAATTGAGCTCTTTTCGGAGTTAGGGTGAGGAGACATAGCTTTGGTAGTTACGATGAATGTATTGTCATTCAATTTTATATAACAGCTGAGCGGAAATCTTGGTGATTGAATTAAAGACAAGACTTGGTAAGCAATAGAGTATCATTTTCCAGAGAATAAAGTACCGGGGCGATAGACTTCTACTTCGTATTAATGAAGTATAATGGAATATCTAAACCAGAACAGTGTTTTATGAATCTTATCGGATTTCAAAGTAAAGCACTACTAGCATACAGTTAAATCCTTATTCATCACTAACCATATTTGGAAATACATTTAAATTGGTACTGTGAACTTGAGAGAATAGTTAGTAACCATCCCATGACTAGTTCGTGCAGATAATCTACTCCTATTAAAGGTGAATCAATTGCTGCTTGAGTATCTTAGTGGCAAAGAAAGTTCCCTATGTGGCTTACAAGCACGAAACCTGGATTCTAGGCAATCCTACCGACTGATTACCAACATCTAATACCAAGTACTCATGGCAAATGTCCTAGAATCATTAAAAAGCCAAGGATAATATTGTAAGCCTGTAATCAACCCATACGCTGCATGAACGACTAATATGGATGTATTATTGCAAAGTATATTGACTTCCTTCTTTGTTATAAGTTGGCCTTATTACCTCAAGATGGTTAAATCGTTATTATCGTGTATGCATTTCAGTGCTCCGTATTACGTTGAGCAGAAATTTGATTGTGTTTGGCATGCGTTTCGTTGGCATCTTTCAAATGTAAGATGCTCTAGGACTGGTCTGCTGCAAGTACTTACAGTTTAATGATACGAAATGAAGTGGTCTTATGTATCGACCACTTTATTTAATTGGGGAGTTGCATCATTCCGAACTGCCTGATTGCTAATGAAATCTCAACTCGGATACAGAAGGCCCGTTTGGCATTAACCTGTGGTGCCGACTAGCGAGATATTCGACTATCTATGAAAGGATGAGTAAGCTGCACCGCGGTCCGTTTTATCCTGTTATACGGCTGCGAGACACGGATGTTAAAAGCAGAAGACACGAAGTGATTACTGGGTTTTGATCACATTTGTCTTCGTAGCATTGCTTGTGATTACTGGAATCACTGTGTTAGTAATGTTGAGGTCAAGCGAAGCGTGGGTACTAAGGAAGACGGGAAAGTCGATGGCTAGTACATATACTGCGCATACTGAGCCACCTCCTACCGCGATGTGCCATGCTAGGGGAAGTTGGATTAGGTTTAAAGACGGTTCAAGTTTGTCAGACCAAGACCTGGCACCAGTCAATGAAATCTCCTACTGTTAATCTGATTCCTGTGAGGTGATGTAGACTGCTTGGTAGGAGTCTCAGGGACAAAAGGAGTCAGTAGTTGAAGACTGTTGAAAATCGGTCATAATAGCGAAGATGTATTCAATCATTGACATCTTCTAAAGCTTGAATATTTGCACCAACTGTTATCTCCTAATTGTTTATTCGTTCAGACAACTTCATCCACTTTGCTATCACAATTTTTCTATTCACATGCTGTTTGTGTACTACTGCGAAGTGTGGGAACTTGAACTGATGCATTTATGTGCGAGGTTCTATGTTGATTCTGTTTGTCTGCTACCCATTGGTATATTTCGAAACAGTAGAGTTCTAACATTGAATAAGAGTTCGTAAGACAATCAGTTTGTCAGTAGAAAACTCCTCGTGCACAGTACAGTTAACAGTTTGTTTCTTATAGACTGTATGGGAAATGACCCAAGTGTTTTCTTTATGTATCAGCTTCATAAATTTTATTGTTTCAATCATAAAATTGAGGAAAAAGCTCATATACCAAATGCTTATTGACTCGCTTTTTGCTTTTATATGCTTTGTTTTTTGTAATGAGTGAAAATTAGAAGCATGGAAAACATTAAGATCAATAATATTAGAGAACATATTATTGAGTTGGTCACTTTGGAAATAATTTACACATTTCACGTTTCTCTTTGACATTTCTGAAAGCGTAGTAGTTTTTCAACTGTTTAACTGTAGTGTCAACAGAGTTTCTTTTGGAATTCATTAAACCAAGATTAAAAGATGTGATATCTGACACAAAAGTGTTATCATCTAGCCAAATACACTAATACTGATCTAAACGAGTAGCTAGAAACCCTTGTCGCGCTAATTTATCGATTTCATCAGTCAGATCAATGTGGAACAGTAAAGTTTACAAATCAGCTTCAGTGGTTTTTGACTATTCAGTGGTATATTTCATATTGAATTGGATATAATGATAATGAATCGTAGATTGGGAAGGTTTATAGTCTAAGATTTACTTTGTAATATGCTAACGAAGTGTGAGTCTGTTATTCTATCGCCTTCTTTTTAACTCCTTAACCTTTCACTCTTCAGTTATTTCTCATTTGGATTACCTGAAGAAGACATTGGCTAGTGCAAGAGTAGCTATACGTTATCTTGAACATGAAACACATGGAGGTAACAGGTGAGTCGACTTATACACATTAGTTATTTACAACATAGTATGTGCTGACAAAGGTTATAATAATACTTGAAATTCATGTAAGCAAGCTGTGAATTGTGTAACTGTCCTTCGAGACTCTCTACGTCTAAACTCTAATGGTTGTTTATCAGTCTGTGGTTAGTCTTTCTTCGAGATAATCGTATATGGTTATGCTTATAAAAACTCAATTTTAGTTCACCTCTGAAATACTTTATACAATAGGACATTATTAGTTTTTTTTTTCTTACTCGTTAGCGTAGGCAGCGAAGTTTTCCAGATACCAAGAAGTTCTAGTAACAGATTATTATCATATGTGTTTGGCGTTTGTTTAAAGTCTCAGTTACCAATCTCTCTCTCTCATCTACCTACTTTCGTTCATAAAACTGTTACTTCAAACCCCATCCCATTGTATTTGACAGCATGTATAATTTTATTTGAGTATTTGTTTAAATATGTTGTTGTACTGGATCTATTTAATAAAAGAATTTAAATGTTACTATACTTTAGCAAATTATCAGACTTCTACTTCTGTAAGAACTGTTTCATTTCCTTCTATATGTTAAATTTCATTTTTGTGAAGTCGCTTTCCAAATTACTTTTCATAAAAATTAATGAATTGTTTTGTGATTCATGTTTCAGCATTGTATGCCAACAATACACTATACTTAGATGGATAATATAACGATAAACCTCAGAGCTCTGCATATCTGAATCTCAACCTAGTCAATAGTTATTGAGAAGGAAAACTGATCAGGGAAAACTTGAACCCATTTGTTACCTCTCCGAACCGACGATATATATATATATATATATATATATATATATATATATATCCGTTCTTCGGTGACCTTGTTGACCAGTTATTCAGCTTGCGAGTTTCGCTAGAAGTCGGAATTCCTCAAACCTTTGAAATTTTTAAAACAGTTACGAGCTAAATGAGAATGCTGTTTCTTTTAGTAGAAATGAAAAATATAATCAGTTATCTGGATAATGTTGTTGCTTGTATTACCCCGTCGTTGATAGGATCGAATTGATCGGTCGCTATTGGCATATGGGTTTCTCTGCGGATGCCTCGATATTGCCTGTGTTTTAATTATATACCAATGATAGTGGTTTGGAATGGAATCCAGGACGTGCGTTTCATCCTATTCGGGAGTATTCCTCAGACAATATCAAGGCATCGACGCAGGAGCCCATGCACCAATAGAGATCGATCAGTTCGATCCACTCAGCAATGGGATAATACAAGCGAAAACACCAAAACTATACTCGTTGTACAAGAAGTGGATATCGTGACTCGGTGGCCTAATGGATAGCGCTCTAGCGTTCGAAACAATCGGTCCCAAGTTCAAGTCTTAATGGGAACAACATCACTCACTGGGGAGTGGTTACATTCAGTTGACAAATCCGAAATGGAACGAAACGTGCTTCCTGGATTCCACTGTTAGCCACTATCCACCACTAATATAGTTACCTGCACAGTCTGTCAAAGTTAACACTGTGGATAGAGCATACCTTCTAATAACATTTATTAACTTGACCACGTCCGTTAGGAGTAGAAACACAGTCAGTATGATTAGTTTTAGAACTGCTGACAGTAGATTTTACTCTCATCTTTGTACTAATACAAAGTTAACATAATCAATAAAAGATGATGTATATAAGAGAATTTTTAAAAGTGTTTAACAACTGAGTCACTTTAGTTGAATTGCATGAATTGAAATAGGAAATGATCGGTTGAATTCTTGTTAGCACTTAGAACTTGACATGATAAATTTAGTTGTTATATAGTGACCAAGCAATGTACAAATATGATTTCTAAACAATTTACTCCAAAATTATTATTGTATTTCAAAATAGTAATAAAAAAGGTTGCTTTGATTTTCTTATAAGAATAGCTGTGTTTGCTTTGTGTTTTTTTTTTCCAGTTAAAATTCAGTATGTAAAAAAATAGTTGTTAATGGTGTAAAACTAAATGGTTGTAGTACTCCATTGTTTTACTGGATCGAATTGTTCAGCCTCTGTTAACATATGAGCTCTTATACGAATGCCTCGATAATGCCTGAATAATTATGATAATTTATTTGGTTGTGATCGAACAATTCGATTTAGTAAAACAAGCATATCAGTTCGGTTCACTCAGTAATGGGACAATACAAATGAAAACATCAAAACTAATACCTGTTGTACAAGAGGTGGCTATTGTCCCTCTGTGGCACAGTGGATAATGCTTTGACGTTTGAAGCGATGGGTACAAGGTTCAAGTCTCAGTAAGAATAACATCACTCACTGGGGTATAGATACATCTAGCTGACGAGTTCCAAATAGGATGAAATACGCGTCATAGATTCCTTTGTTAGCCACAACTAAATAAATTATCATGATAAATATTCAGGCAATATCGAGGGATCTGCATAGGAACCTATATGCCTATTGAGGTCTAACAATTCGATCCAATAAAACAACAAATAGCAATATTCTTGACTTTTACCTCTAAACCGTCAGGGAAGAAGAATTATTATTTCATTATTTGTCGCTTGGGTTCTTAGTGGAACATAGGGCTTCAGTAGCACGCCTCCATTGCACTCTCTTCTCTGCAGTCTTTTGAACCTGGCTCCACGGCTGCCCACAAGCTTTCATTTCTTCCTCACATGATCTCCTCTATATCACCCTTAGACGCCTAACTCTTCGTTTCCCCTTTGGATTCCACTCGACGGCCTGGCGTGGTGCGTGATGCCCCTGAATGGTCTTCTCAGTGTATGCTCAATTCGTCTCCACTTTCTTCTGCATATTTGTTGGGCTATGGGTTCTTGCCTTGTTGGTTCGTTCCCAGAGTTCCTTCTTGCCTATTCTTTCGGGCCATCTGATCTTCAGTATCGAGTGAGCGAGCGTAGACGGCAGCTGTTGATTTGTGTTTGTAATTTGTTGGAAATCCTATCATGAGGCGCCAAGTCTTTGTGATTTGAAGTTACTTTAGCGATTGGATTGGTTTTACGGGGTAGGGTTGCTAGCCTTATGCCCAACCTTCCCTCTTTATCCGGGCTTAAGACCGGCTATTAACTAGTGAATTAGTTAACCAGGTGAGCTTAGAGAAGAAAAAACTTCGGGAAAAATATTCTTTACTGGCAACTCTTTGATGACCTTGTGTGCTAAAACATGTATAAATGTATTGACTTTTCTGGGAGTAAATTTTTCGCAACACTTTTGAATATGCTAGCTTCGTACGCTGAATTTCTTAGATTGCTGTGTAAGGCTTGACACCTTCAACACGCCAGTAAAGAGTCGTTACAGTTCTACCAGTAAGTGCACGTGTGGCTAGTCGGTTTAAGGAGATGACTTGCAGCCAATGGGTCACGGGTTCGAACCCTACTTCATCTACTGTGGTCTGAGCAACCAGGTAGTAACATTAACTGTCCCACAATAAGTATGGCTCATTGCCTACTACACGAAGTTGATGGGTGCATCCCAGCCTTGCTCATGAATTGATTATTGTTGAAATGGTGATACGTCTCAACAAAATTCCGTTATTGATTTTCATACCTTTGGTTTTTTTCTCCTCGAACTTATGTTATATTGATTGGTGAGGTTATTCTTCATTACATAATATTGGGCTTTAAATGTTGGAAGTTGTTAGGTAAGAAACTCTTGACCTAGTTTGGATGCTTGTTAGGACTCATAAGGAAGGTTTGTTCTCTAGCATGAGGTAGATGAAATTAATGTTCACTCAGCACTGAAGTCAGAGACATTACTACCGAATGATTCAAGCCGCAACTGATGCCATATAGATTCGGACTAAGTGCAGAAATCGGTTTGCAGTGTATAGGTAACCTGTGTGGTTGCATAATATTCTTAGTACTTAGCGGAAATTGAGGTTTATCGATCAGATAATATAACACTAAGGATAATTCATGATGCAATTTGTAGGTTTATGAAGATTATTTTATTTATTTCGGGCTGGCACTCATCACGGACTGAAGTCAGTCGGAGAACCATGGGATATCTGGGAGCATCAGACGGCCGTTTCGTTCTAGTATGGGATTCCTCAACGGTACCCACCCATGACCCTGTCAGAGTAACATAGTGGCCGTGGAACTTGAAAGCCTTGGGTTCCATCCTCGGTGTGCTCGTGCTCCTAAGGTGTCACAAACTACGACGAAATAGCCGTTCAATACTGCAAAATTTCTAATAGTTCTCCAACTGATATCAGCCCGTGATAATTAATAATGGTTTCATAATTCTTTTGGACAATCTTTCTTGTATAAGGTATCTTCGATTACAAAAACCAGATGAAATACCAAACAGACCTATTCAACTTCTTCGTCAAGATGCAGCCCATGATGATACTCAAGCATTAGTTAAAGACATTGAAGAAGATGAAGCAAAGATTGCATCTGGTCAAAACGTGAATCTTCGTGTTGTTAGAAGATGGCTTAGCATTCTTGATTGTGCATCTTATTTTGCACAGGTGAGCATGTTTTTCTTAAAGTATTTTAAACTCGTTTATTGGGTTGACCAACTTTATATGTCTTACTACTACTACTACTACTACTATTGATTGCATTTAGACTAATCGATAAGTTGATATCGACATTGAACCTGGCATTAATCCTTTATGGGACAAACTGCTACATTTTACAACAGCACATCAAGATACAAGGCAGCAAGACAAAAAAACAGGGAACTGAAAATACTATCTTAATAGTAGTAGGAAACCATAAAGCGAAAAGAAGGACTTGATAATGAAATGTGATATGATGAAGATAATGTCAATATGTATCTGAAATCGTTTTTCAAACTATACTATGTAGAATCGTCTACCCAACCATTGCTTTCCTTTGTCGCATTGTCTTCGATTCGACAATTGGTATTTTATCATACTTCATGGACTGATGCCATGCCAATCACCCTTACCTTTCGTTCAGCTTAAATCTTCCTCAGCTAGCATTGCGCATCATAGTAAACAGTGGCTCGACATATGTCTTAGCTGCATCAACTGACCTACCTTCCGTACTGAATTACTCTACGCTTGAGTAGTGTTTTCACACAATACGTGAACAGTTCTGCAAAGATGGCAGGAGACCTTTATGAATGATCTTTTGATTAAGGTAAAGGGAAATGGAGAGTAGGCACACTTGATAGACATCTTCGGAGCTAAACAACTTACCGGACACGTTATCGTAAGCGCTAACATGACCGCAGTTGTTCGAGTAGAAAACCTTCAGTAGCATGAATTAGTTACAAGGTGCTCCCTTCTGGGAGACATTGGCACAAGATCTATCGACTAGAGGAGTTGGATGACGCCTTCAAGTCAGAAAATATGGCTGATTTTAGGCGTCGGTTGACGTACTCAAAAACCAAGTTTAAAACTTGCCTAGTTTCTTCAAGTTTGCTGTTCCTGAGCCTCACTTAGCCGTCTAATTATTATGGAACCCGAAATCGTAGACACTAGATTCGTTAAACTGAATTTGCTGAGGTTATAACAAGAGAATTTCTCCCCCTCCTTGAAGACTAGGACAATCTGCAATCAATATCAGTTAGGTGGATCGTACATTGTTCTAATACGCCATCTAACAGTTTGTTTCAACAGTAATTCCTGACTATCATCTCTAAATACTTGTGGTGGCGGCTCATGAAGGTTGACTGCACTTCCTCGCTTCAGGCTATCAACAACCTTGTAGCTTTCTGCAAGAATTGGAGGGTCTATCATGTTTCAAGTGAAAAGTAGTTGGAGGCCAGTTGAATTGTTCCTTAAAGTGTTCCGTACATAGTTCTAGCTGTCCTCCTTGCGAATAGATTCTAGGTCCATTCTTCTCTGCGATAGTCTCAGTGATATTTGACCTTTTCACCCCAGTTTCCTTGATAAGCTTAAGTAACTTTCTACTGGTATCTATCGCAGTTTCCTTTTTCATCACTTTAGCCTTCGCGACGCACCACTGTTCGTGGTTACTGCATAGACTTCTTGTCTGCCTACATTTGTGTTACTTCCTATTCTCACTGTGCTCAACAATATGTTCACATGCATCTCTTAATTGAGAAAAAGCTGATGAGATCAGTTGACTCTAACATTTTGCTCAGGATCATTTGTGGTCTGGTCATTAACGCTGTATTATACAGCGGATCACAGGTGTTGCCAGACGTTCTCATGATGAGTAACTGTTTAACCAGTTCCTCATTGGAAGCAGTCTTCGTATCCTCAATATCAAAGTGAGCTCGAAACTCTCTTCTAGATGTTATCTTACTTCCATTTAGACGTAGGTGTGCTCAAACCAAGATGTGACCTCTATAGAACCACGTTCTCAAGGAGAAACAAGTATCTTCTACCACTAACCGATAGCTATAGAGTCTGTTGGTGTCATCAATTGAGTTGAGGTCGGCGGATATCACGTTTGAAGCTCATTCTGCCCGTAAATAGTTGGTCCTCTGAGCACAGTAACAGGAAAGAGGTGATCCCTCTTATCGGTTCCCTTGGTTTGCATTGTCAGAGTTTCCTTGTGCTTAATTTGGTCCACGTACATGTACATTGAAGTCACCTACTGCGACGAATATTGTAGACTTCAATTCTATATTAGATCCGTTTATTTGATTGATAACACACAAAGTGGTACAGTATTATTTCCTTGATGATGTTTCGAACATAAATTATCAATACTCATAATCATATCAATGTAATCACACTACTTTCAACATCTAACTTTCATAGTCCCATCACTTCATATTCTTTGTTCCTGTTAAGTGTAGTAAAGTTTTCCATATCTCTGGTATAGATGTTGCATCATTCCTATAGCACGTGTTGGGTGTTGATTTGATGAATAAAGATTCAGTAATCAGTGACCTCTGTCTCCACCTAATTATATTGGACTTACTTAAGTACAGTGGTTCTATCCCATCCACCCTATTGTGTGGTTGTGTGTTAATGGGTGCATTGGAATAGCCGAGTTTATTCTTGATTACTGACAGGTCTTGTCGGGGTCTGTCATTCCATATTTACCTAAGTTCCTATGTTCCGGTATTCCAACTGACCCTGACCAGCTAGTTTGACCTATGTACTTGACCTCGCAGTCATGACATGGAATTCGATGGTTTAGGTTATTTCGCTTAATTGGTTCCGTCGGATCCTTAAGCAAGCCAACAAAGCTTATCTCTGAGTGAGTTTGCAGGTTTAAATGTCACCCTAATTCCAGCTTTGTTGAGAATCCTACGTAAAGTTCCTGATGTTCACTCCTTATAGGGCAACACAATGGAGGGTGTGAACTACTTTCTACTTGTGTTCTTGTTATTATCCATACTCATGTTACTGTTAACATTTCGTTACTTATGTGTTCGTACGAATTTCCTAATAAACTGCAGAGGATAATTATTAACTATTAGCGTTTCTTGTACGTGCTTCAATTCCTTGTTTAGGTGCTTTGACTGACTAGTCAGTTTTCCAGCTCTATCACTTAGATATTTGACTAAACCTGCCCTAAATGACATTGGATGAGATGACTTGAAGTTTCATTACCTGTTAGGATTTTGTAGACGATAGTATCCAAACCACCGTCTGTCCTTCGTTTTATCCTGCAGTCAGACATAGGTAATTCTCTTTGTTCATTTCCTACCTCGTAAGTAAATTGGAATGCACCCACTACTAAGTTTATATGTTCGAGTAATTTGTCGATATGTTCGGATTTTGAACGCAGTGAACGTGTCATCCACACATATGGCCACCAAATCTTAGTTGGAGGATTAAACATTTGTAACGCCATGTTTTCCTAGCTATTCGTAAATGACTGCGAGGTCAAGTACATATGTCAAACTAGCTGGTCAGGGTCAGTTAGAATACCGGAACATAGGAATTTAGGTAAATATGGAATGACAGACCCCGACAAGACCTGTCAGTAATCAAGAATAAACTCGGCTATTCCAATGCACCCATTAACACACAACCATACAATAGGGTGGATGGGATAGAACCACTGTACTTAAGTAAGTCCAATATAATTAGGTGGAGACAGAGGTCACTGATTACTGAATCTTTATTCATCAAATCAACACCCAACACGTGCTATAGGAATGATGCAACATCTATACCAGAGATATGGAAAACTTTACTACACTTAACAGGAACAAAGAATATGAAGTGATGGGACTATGAAAGTTAGATGTTGAAAGTAGTGTGATTACATTGATATGATTATGAGTATTGATAATTTATGTTCGAAACATCATCAAGGAAATAATACTGTACCACTTTGTGTGTTATAAATCAAATAAATAGATCTAATATATAGTGTGTGTATATATCAATAATCACTGAAGTGTTATCCATTGCACAGTATATGTCTTTCATGAGTCAATAACTTGTAATCCATATATCTTCGACGGGTAGCATGAATAATCAGACAGAACACTGACAGGTATACCACAGCTGGTGTTCATTCGGTTGATGGATGTCTATTATAATGATATGTATAACTTGTTACCAACATATTCTTATTTCAAAGTGATTATTTTGCTTTAAAATCAACTGACAGTTGTTTGTTTGTTATCGGCTTTCTTTAAAGACATTAAGGGATACAGATAAGTCTTGCAATACAATATCTTCTGAAAACAATATCAATACTAAGACTTTAAAACTTACTGAACAAGAAATTGATACAACTGAACACTTCCTCAATATCGGACCTCCATATTGTGACCTACTATCTAAAGAGTTTAGTACTTTTGAATTGAATGATGTATCAACTACGAAAACAGCACCAGTTACCATTTTAATTGGATTCAGAAACACATCACCTGAGGATACAATACTTCCTAAAGAGTTTTTAACGCTTACAACTAATCATGGTAGGTAGCAATTATTTGTTTTTTGCCCTCTACTATTTCCAATCGATTAAAATAGTTTACGATAACTGTACACTGGAATTTTTTTCAATTATCTTATTTCCTACCAACACGAATATATGACTGTATGAATATGAAAGCTTCCTTAAGAATATTCATGTCATAAAGTAATAATATTACAATTATTTAGCAGAGAATTCTAATTGTAGTCTCGTGTGGTGAACAAATTGGTCAGGAGTACTCTCCGTGTGTGTGTGTGTGCTAATCTTACACAACAGTGCAAGACTAACCACGTTTAGTTGTTTGTTTTTTAACCGATGATCATCTGAAAACCTAAGCAAAATTAAATGCATCAGGTCATCACTTGTGTTAATTACTGTTTTGGGTTATACTGGCATTTTTAATGAAAACTTCTTAAGCTTAGCATGTCGTCAATAAACAGATCAAGGCTTAAAAGAATATTAGGACCAGTTAATATTCTGGTAGACTTGTGTATTATCAGGTTGTTGTTATAGTTACTGTAAAAGTGTTGGTGTTACCTACAAACTATGGGGAATGATGATTATCTGTGCCTGATTTTCAATTTCATCTTTAGGCGTCAGAAATGATGTTAGCTCTGCAGAAGTGTCATCAGCATACAAAATTTATAAATAGCACCTACCTTAAGGAAAAATATACTATCTCCCAGTTGATTATGCACTATGGTTAATTGATAATACGATATAATACAGGTCGACGATTGCATTTGGATTATACTTTTGCACTCATTAAAAGTATATATGCTAGACAAAAGCCCATTAAGTTTTTATGCCTTAAACACCCCAACCCTAGAGTAGGTGTCTGCAAACAGTTCTCCATTCTCATTCATTTCACTGATTGCTTCTCAACCTATGATGACTTCTCTTCCTCTGTTGTCTGCTCCAAGTTTGACATTCATGTCACCCATTAAATTTTTGATGGGGGTCTTGTCCAGTACTGACTCAATTGTCTGTAGAATTCCTCCTTCTTCTCTTCATCTGCATTATTTGTGGGTGTGCAGCGTAGCATTGTATGATTGTCACTTTCTTTCCTTTTGAGTTGAATCCATCTTGCTGTCATGATCCTGCAGGAGGAGACTGGTTCCCACTGCATGAGAGCCTTCGATGCTGTTGGGAGGGGACATCATGATAGCCACTTAAAAACTCAGTATGCTCGTGGTTGTCGTCTTGTTGAGAATGTCGGAGTAGATTATTGACTCCTTTCCAGTTGACAGTTTGGAGAGTCCACTTCCATTCCATTTGCAGATTCCCACCACTTCTATGCCATACCTTCTCATCTCTTTAGCAACCTAGGAAGCCTTTCACGAACCGGCGTCATTTCGTCTCCCCGATTCCGGCGAGGAATAAGTTTGTTCCTTTTTTTGTGCTTTAAAGTTTCTTTGGCGATTGGATTGGTTTTACGGGATAGGGTTGCTAGCCCTATGCTCAACCTTCCATCTTTATCCGGGTTTAAGACCGGCTAGTGAACTAGGCTAGGTGTCAGCAGCCTAGTACTAATCATTGTTAAACTATCAGTCAACATCGATCATATTCCCAATAAACACTGTTTATCAAGGACACACACTTGGTTCCACTCTGAAGATATGGAAGCATGTTCTTTAAAAAAAAATAATACAAAATTGATGTTTACTAGAGTACTGCTTCGACATCCATCATATAACGAATTACAACTTGAATTCGGGTGTGTTATGAATACACCAACATAGATAACAGACTTTTGACAAAGTGTAGTTAAGAGCTAATCGATTTCTATGCGGTCATTCCAAGACTTCAAGGACAGTCTAGGATAAGATGCATCCAATGAATAATAATAATAAAAGGAGCATTATTCTGACCTTGTGGTGAACTATCCACTTCGTATCAATGTTCTTGGTTATTAGTTATTCCTTACTGATGTCAAACGTAGACTAGATATCTCTTAACACAAAACAGCATTGACATAAAAGTTTATAATCACCTACTATCAAGCTGCTTTGAGTGATTTTCATCACCAGCACCCATTGTTTTTATTCAACTCGATTGGAAGTGATTTACTGTTCTACTTGGTTTCTGAAATATTCATCATCTGATATTTCAGACCCACATAATCTTAGAAGACTGATGCAACATCTTGATCAGAGCACATAAAATCACTCGGGTTTATACTGACTACAAACTGATTATATACGAGCTACAGGATTAGTTTGACTACAGAGAATAAAGTGATTCGACATACTGACCACTTTACTCTAGCTAGATTACTACCAAGTAAAATGTTCACCCTATTATATGTCTGATTTACAAGTAATCATCGAGGCTCAGTTTTCAGACTCATGATATTGATGATCACAGGAGATTGTTATTAGTGAATTCTAATTTTTAAAGGAGTACAAACAATCCTTTTCTGAATATGTTCCTTGCAATTTTGAAAAAAAAGGCTATTTTCAGCGGAAAAAAAAATTCGTTTAGTTTTTAGAAATCTGTTATCTTAATTTAGGGCTGTGGGACTGTGATAATGATACTTGTTTTTTTTTCGATTGTTGAAACTGATAAATTCATTGACAAGCTGTGTATTTATTATTTTTTAAGGTGTTCGACTGGAACTAATCCGCTCTTTCATTCAACGTTGGAAAACAATGAAGACTTGATAAGAAAGATTTATTACTTGTATCGTTCAATTATGTGCTATTTGTTGTGAAATACAGTTGTACAGAAATAAAGAAATAAGCTAATTTTCAAATGATTTCATTTACCAAGTGATTATTGAAGAAAATTGTAGGCGACTGTCAATATTTTCAGTTCACCAGCATGGAAGATTCGGTTGATAACCTCAAGGGTCGTTTCTTATCGGCTCATTTTAGTGTTGAAATTCGTCGGTAGCCTTATTGTATTTGAGCGTTTTACGTTTGCAGTGAAATTGACAGCTTCTGGTACTCCTCCTTTATAACATTTGAACTGGAGTCCGTGGATGTGAGATTGGAGACATTCTAACAAGTCCTATTCGATATGGGAAATCGGATAGTATCATAAGTCTAGCAACCGGAATTAGTAGCAGTTACAGTGACGATGAATGTTACTTTTCTTCCTCGTACTCAATTGATTGATTAGTGGGTCTACGAAACTAATCACAGAGCTATCAATATCACCTGAGTGAATAACTAAACATTTTCTGTATGTATGCCTCAGAAACGGTTTACATCCATAGGTTGAAATGGCAGATTTTTGGCTAGTGATGCATAATGGGATGCTGGAAGCTTTGGTTTTACAATCGGCAGTGGTTTTATTGGGCTAAAAGTAACTTTATATCGGTTTGAAGTGTTAGCGATAAACTTGAGGAAACTTTAAGGAGCATAATCTCGGCAATGAAAAGAGTAGGTAATAACCAATCATAATTTTCTATCGTTCGAACCGCTGTTTGTTTACACTATAGAAGTTTACGTCTTCCTGGAGGATGTAGAAGAGTGAATCAGTTTGGGGTGGTCGCAGAGACTGAGGGGTGTCTGGTGAGAGTGAGTTATATGTATTATTCTGAAGGATATTCATGTGGCTAGAACTGTATCTGTACTTGAAGAGCGAAGAAAAGTTGTAAAGTAAAGCAGTGTACACTTTTTAAACCCAAACCTTTTATATCCCCTCACCCCACCACCTGAGAGGAAGTTGAAAGCACAGTGGAAGTGCTGCCATCACATACTTGTTCAACGTAACATAAATTATTTACACGACATCGGTATTCGTAACCGCAGCCAACATACCCTTTTATCAAGGCATAAGTTCAAACAACAACCGTCTAAATCAACATAACTTCTTTATTATGTGCAAACGTGACAGCTACTGAAGTCATTGGTTGGGTATTGAAATACCAACTGAAAGCAATACACACCTCTTCAAAAACGTCTGTATTTCACAAAAATTCAGCTCATTATGAACAAAAATCTTGATAGAAAAAGAAACTTGTCCCTTTTCAGAGTTAGTATCAGATCTGAAGTAACTACTAACTGAAGATAATAAGAAACAAAAGGTATACATAAGCTGTACAATTTAGTGGACATCATATTTTATGTACAAATAAATTTCAGGAGAAATTTGCTTCCAGTTGAGAAAATATTTTGGGAATCAGTTACATTATGTACAAAATAGAGGGCATTCCAACTTAATTTAGTCATCTAACATATAACGCTTAATTGCTGTTTTACGTCGTTTAGGTGGCCGTATCTTAGAATCATCATCAGCTTCATCACTATCATTATTTGTGCTATTGTTAATATTCCGTGATTTAGTCTTAGAATTGTTCGGTTCATCAACACTCTCATCATCGATTACAACTACTTCCAGTACACGATCTTCATATTCGTCGTCATCGTCATCTTCACTTTTAGCATATTCTTCATCCCCTTCTTGATGTGAAGAAGCAAGTCGTTTGTTGACTGATTTACGATTCTTCAGGGTTTCAGGACCAACACGTTTCCTCCCACTAACCTTTGATTTCTCTGTAGACCGCGTTGTCCCACTTCTTGTTTTCTTACCTGTCGTTGATTCATCTTCGTCTTCAGTTGAACAAGACGATGACTCACTGGTCACATAAGCAGCTTCATTACCATCAGAATCACCATCGTAATTGTTCACTTGAGTTTCACACCGATTTTCACGTTTTGATGGAGTTGAACTACTGCTGGAATTGGAAGTCACCTGTCGTCTTTCTGCCTGTAAACGATAGAAAAATAACAAAAAGGATGAAGAGTTTACTAACGAACTAGTTTACTGCATCTGGTCAAACTTCAGCTGACAGATTATCAGTTTGAAAAGCTGCTTTCCACAATTTATCTAACCATACATTTTCTAGCACAATCCTAGGACCCATAGTTATCCGATGCCTAACTGGAGCTCAACAACAGCAAACCCAAGAAAACCAAGCAGGTCCCATACTTGGATGAGAATGCATCGATCATATTTTCACCCTACATCAGATTCTCGAACACAGACAAACTTACCGGCCAATGGTTGACACTTGCCATGAATTTTGACCTGAAGGCTGCATTTGACTCAGTCAACTGATAGGTATTGTGGCAATGTTAGACAATAAAAGAAGTACCGAAAAAGTACATAATGCTAATCAGAGATCTCTACTCACATGAGTCATGTTAGGGCTTACAGATTGTTGTGTGAATTGTCGATAACTAGTTGTGTCCGCCAGGGATGCCAACTGGCTATCTGTCAAAAAAGAGTATACTTCGCCGTTCTGTCCTTTTTTACGGCTGAGACATGGACGTCAAAAGTAGAAGACACAAAGCGGTTATAGGGTTCTAATCACAGATGTCTTTGTATCATTTCTCACGTTTGTTGTGATCATCATGTGACCAATGTTGAAGTCAGGTGAAGGGTACTAGGAAAGACAGGCAAGTCGATTGATGAGGTTGTGAACCTTCATCGACTGAGATGGTTTGGGCATGTTGAGCCACCGTCTACTTCCACGTGCCATGTCGGGGGAAGTTGGATTAGGTTTGAAGGCCAGACAAAGACCTGGTACCAGGCAATGAAGTTCATAACTGTTGGCTTGAGTCGTGTAGGGCAACGTAGACTGTCAGGTAGGAGTCCTAGAGACGATAGGGAGGAGTGGTTGAGGACTCTTGGCTACAGCTGAAAATCTGTCACAATGGTGCAGACGTATTCACTCCGTGACATCTTCTAAAGCTTGAATATGTCCAGTAACTATTATCTTCGATTGTTTATTCTGTCAGACAACTGTGTCCAGTTTGATAAGACTTTTTTCACTTGCTTGTTCTTTGTATACTACTGTGAAGTGTGCCAATTAAAGCCAATGCACTTGTGTTAAAGGTTCTACGTTGATTTTGTCGGTCAGTCATAATCACATTCCTTGCAAACACAAACAAATGAAACAGCAAAGCAAAATGTGATATTTAGATTAAAGCATTCTAAACATGATACTTTGAATTATAAATTCACAATGTAAAACCCAACCTTCGTCAGATGGTAATAACTATTCACGAAATAATGTTGCTATCAAATGTAGTTCACAATTCACTTCAACAATAGGTTACTAGATCGACTTACTTCAGCAGCGCGACGAGAATCTAAATTGCGAAGGCTGCGACCGCCTTTGCTACCAGATTTTATTCTCCCGGTTGTAGTTTTTCGTACTACACTTGAATACACATCACCATTCATATGTGCAGTGTTGGTAACAGAACTTGACAAAGAATCAGGTATTTGTGAATGATAACCACTTGGTGTTGAAGGCAGATCTTCAACTAATGCCAATAAATCTGAAAAATGATCTTTGAGATTCGGTGACAATTTCGGTGATGTTGCTACCGACTGAAGAGCAGATTGTATATCATCATCTTGTAGTACTAAAGATTTAAACAGCAGAATAATCTTTATAAAAATGGCTATTCAGATGCTTCCAAGGAATAGTGAACAACAAAATTTTCGATTTTTTTATCAGTCCCATATTAATAAAACTTATAACTCCTACTATTATTAGTTAACTTTCCAGTAATGCAATATAGATAACATAGGATGCACAAAGAAAAAACCTTTAGGACATCCGTGTAAGGGTTTATGACGTCACCTAGTTGTACAGGCAGAAATAGGTGGAGCGGAATAAGAAACTGGACTTTCTCACTATATATATATATATATATATATATATATATATATATATATATATATATCAAAATCAGCATTCGAAATCATCAGCTGCCAGGTCAAAAGCTTTGGATTTCAACCTCGTTTCATGTTACTGTGTGGGCGGGGAAACCTTATTGGACAGCTTCGTCCTTCAGCTGATCAATCAAAAACCGGTATCCATATTCTGACCTAGTAGCATCATTTTCTGAGAAAGTGTATATAACGGATGCGCATTTTGTCAAATAAAGATCTCTTTCTTACAGTCACTGGCCGGTCTTTGTCTCCAGATTTTCGCGTCTCAGTGAACTATCAGGTCTGAGGGAGAACAGTTACTTTTTGCCGCAGTCCAAGTGTCTCATTGCGTTAGTAGCGTTCTCTTATTTCCTATTATTCTGTAGGTCAACTTCACTCGGTCATTTCATAGTAACATCCATGGCATGTGTTTCGTCTTGCTTAGGGCTCATCAGCTGGATGCACTCGCCTCCCAGTGAGTGATGTTGTCCCTACTAATACTCGAACCCAGGACCAAGAGCTCCAAACGCCAGGGCGCTATCCGCCACTTGTGCAATGGGCATAATCTTCGTATGCTTGTTGCACAAGGAGTGGTTACTGTGACTTAGTGGATGCCGCCCTAGCGTCTGAAGCGACCAGTCCCGGGGTAAAATCTTCGTAGTCGTTCAAGTCTTCCCATCACTTAGTGGGAGGCAGGTACATCCAGAAAACAAGTAATAGATAAGACGAAATGCACGTCCCGGATTCTACTGCTGGTCACTACAGATCATTAATACAAAATGACACCACTGATTGAGATCGTCCATATACCTAACAAGCCAGCTCAGGTAAACTCCAAATAATAACTGTATTTCTAAGTTGAACACAATGCATTTTGTTGAGAAAGGTATTGCTTCCATTCTTAAAGACCCTAGTACTAACGTCTCTATCATTGCGAAGGGACGACGGCGGTAGGGCATTTATCCACAGACAGACAAACAGACAATGTGTTCAACTTTCCAAGTAATGTGAAAAAAGTACATTTCTTTTTTGTAGAGAAGATTTGGATTTCGCCGATATGTGTCTAATATCGTACAAACTCGAAGATCTACAGGCAAAAACCAAAAAGAATGACATAAGAGGCAGCGAAGATGGGACTTCCTTCGGGTGAATGTAGAGAAGACAGAGGTGATGAAGATACTTAACAAACAACAACAAGATGAGACATCAGTTACCAGAAGAAAGTGGAGATGGTTTGGATCGGAGATACACTGGGAAAACCATTTGGTGGCATCACGCCACAGGTCAGGTCATCGAGTGTAAGCCGAGGTTGAAAGAATGAGTTGGGCGTTGGAGGCGAAGGTTACATGGAGGAGGTCGTGGTAGGAAGAAATGAAAGCTTGTGGGTAGCCGTGGAGCTAGGTTGGTAAGACTGCAGAGAACAGAGTGAAATGGCGACGTGCTACAGAAGCCCTATATTCCACTAAGAACCCAAGGGATAAATAATGATAATAATAAACTACGTTTATTCTTGCCTAAAAGTTTTCGCAATCATGAATGTATAACTGTGTCTGTTATATAAGAAATGAACACGACACAGTAGCAAACTACACATAATAATATTGTTCTTCATATCGTCATTCTTTAAGAAACAATGAATTTTTCATTATCAGGATTCAATAGCTATTGGAGATTAGTATCACCTATAAATTTGACTATTCAAGGTTTTGATTGAAGCCTTTTGAAATATTATTATTAGTAGTAGTCCCTTGGGTTCCTAGTGGAACATAGGGCTTCACTAGCACGTCTCCAGTGACCTCTGTTCTCTGAGATCTTTTGAACCTGGTTCCACGACAGCCCACAACCTCTCATTTCCTCCTCGCACGATCTTCTCCATGTCACCCTCGGACGTCCAACTCGTCGCTTCCCCTGGGAATTCCACTCGAGGGCCTGACGCGTGATGTTTCCAGTCGGCCTTCTCAGTGTATGCCCAATACAATACATCTCCACTTCCTTCCACTGCACACTTGTTGAGTGATAGCTTCTTGGTTGGTTCGTTCCCAGAGCTCCTTGTTGCTTATTCTCATTATTCTGGCCATCTGATCTTCAGTAACGAGCCAGCGTAAGCAGTTGTTGATGAATGTCTGTAGTTTATTGGAAATCACTTTCGTGACGCGCCAAGTCTCTGAACCATACAGAAGCACTGACTTGACGTTGGTGTTGAAAATCCGTATCTTGTTCCGCATGCTCAGTGCAGAAGATCTCCACACTGGTTTCAGGCTAATGAACGCCTGTCTTGCTTTTCCGATTCTGACTTTGACGTCCTCGTCCGTCCCGCCTGTAGTTGAGACAGTGCTTCCTAGATAGGTGAAGGAGGTTACTTCCTTTTTTTGAAATATTATATACTCTTTATTTCAGTAGATTTCACGCAGAGCGAGTAAACAAATGAATATATGAAAATAAAGTTATGATAAAATCAGCGTTAGGGTCAACATGAAACCTGAAATAACTGGGTAATAAAGTTCATGTTACCACATCTGATAACCCAATAGAAAGGTAGAAAACACTAGAATATGAACAAGAAGATAGTCAAATGTGGTAGAAAGTTGTAAACAGAGAACGAGAAGAAATAAAACAATCCTAAGATTCAGTATCAATATTAGGATGAAAGATGATGTGTCGATGCATCTGTGTCACTGAAATCAATTCAGAGACATATCACCTAGAGTCTCCAACCATTGACTTCGGTTGTCACGTGGACTTCAACAGTGAAGCCTACATTTCTCTATGCAAATTATGATCATTTTCAACCATTTTTCCAGTGTAAATGTACTTCAGCTAACACTACGTGACAGGACAGGTATATATATGTAGTACATATTCCAGTCACCTGAGTTGATGAAGCTTAATAAACCTCACCAACCGATGATCCACCACTATTACCTAAAATTCTACGCTTCATTTTCGGGTACTACTGACTTAGCGACACCAAGATACACTATTCGGTACATACAAGATACAATTCTAGAGATTATGATATCTACCGACAGGAGGTATACTCACATGAGATATTTTTGCAATTTCTTCGAAGAGAATCCAAGTGTGTAAGAATCAATGACAAATCAACACATTCCTCAGGTAGTAATTGATGCCTGTAAAAAGTGTAAATGAAAAGAATTTCACATATATACTGTAATAATTGATATATGTCAGTCAATCAGTTTAGACAAAACGAGATTATTGAAGTGAAAATAAATTCATAGTAATAGAGTACTTCAATTCGATATTTTTAATAAAAATTTATAATTAGCATAAATTATTCCATGTACATTTCTCACATGATAAATAATCTTTTAAGATTTTTAAAAATTCCCACCATGTTAATTAAAACAAGATATATAAATGAACAATATTGTTTTCAATTAGATCCTCTTCAGGCTTTACTCTAATATAAATAGTATAGTAGTATAGTATAGTATATAAATAGTATATATAACATTAAACCAATCATGTAGATTTGTCTGTTGATATGACATATTGTTTAAAGATAACAATGGTGATAATAGTTCAAATAGTAAAAGTGATAACGTTGACTTGAGCGATTGCAATATAAATGATAATGATGATAAGAACCAAGAAAGCAGCATGAAAATGTAGATACTTTAATAATCGAAGCACATCAAAACGATGGTGATAACAATACAAATAATAGTAACGATAAAAAGTCACAAAGATAACTGAAGCACTTGCAATATGAGTCGCAACCTTCATTCACTTTCACTTGTGAAGAAGAAAATGCGAGTAAACTATACTTCTTGGATGTTTTGCTAACCAGAAGAGAAGATGGTTCACTCAGTAAATATGTTTACAGGAAGACTACATCTATAAGTCAGTCAGTACACACCTTTTCTTAGTCATATACCCATTCGGTACAAAGCAAACCTGGTTAAATGCCTCACTGACAGAGCGAGAAGAACATGTTGAAATGGATGAAATGAGTTACGCTAACAGTTTCATCAAAAGACACATAGACAAAGCCAGGGGAAACAAACCTGGAATTATTACCATACAAAAGAAACCGTTGTTCATGAAATTGCAATTTAATGAGGATGTAGCCGGAAAAGTTTTATATCATAGAGACTCTCTACAGTCACTAAGAGGAACTTGTACACCCCACAACTCTGTCTATCATTTTCAAGTGGACAAATTGTTGTTGTTCAGACAAAAGATAAGGTATATAGTTTTGCCATTTCTATGTGTATTTACAAGTTTAGCTGCTCCTGTGGGGAAAGCTGTATAAGGTGTACTACTAGACAACTTAACAAACGTGTTGCTGAGCATTTATCCTCATGGTTTGGAAAGGGACAGATAAAATCTATCAGAAGCTCAGTTTAATCTCGCCTTGTTGATAGTGGTCACTTGGTAGAACAATACTTTCACGATTATTCACGATTGGTCTGCATTCAGAAGAGATTTGTACATCCCTTATCTCTTCCTTGGGTTTATCATTGAGTTATTTTCCTATCCCTTCCCTGTTCTTCACCCCTTTCATATACTTACTGTATTTATTTAGACTGTTTATCCACTTACCTCATCCTTCAGTATTACAGTAGCTTTATTTTCTCAAGCATTTGACCCACTTTGATTATCGGAGTGTCAACATTTTCATATCACTTTGTTGGCTATTATCATCATTATCATGCATATTTCATGTGCTCTGGTCAACACTATCACTTTTATCATTATTATTATTATTTGTATTATTACTTCTATCGTTATTCTTAAAACATGTATCACATCAACCGACAGATCTGAAGAGGATCTAACTGAAAAGAATATGGTTCGCTTAAATATCTTATTCTAAATAATCTTTTGAATGAGTCAGGTGTATGTACAAAAAAAATAATAAACTACCATAGTAAACCATTGAAATTTTATTTAGCAAGAGGAACAGAGTAATACATTTAATTTTCAAGAAGTAACACTTACTTTGTAGAACTACGACGTCTTTCCCTACCCTCCTTTATACTTTGATTACTGGAAGTTGAAGTAACACCAGGTGTATTCAAATCCTTACTTGATATTGTTAAAGGTGTATTTATGAAAGAACATAAAATATTTGAGAAACGTCCAGCATGTTGATTATCTGGACAACTCCAAAAATGCAACGCAGTCATTGATAACAAATCATTAGGACTATGACGTGATAATAAAGCATGAACTAATTCAAAGCTCGGTCTAAAAAATTAGTAAAGTTGACAAGAGCAAAAAAAAAATTGTTTGAATAGAATAGTTTTTTTTTGATAAAATATATTTTAAAAATGCTTCATTGATAAAATGATAAAATCTTAAAGAAAACCACGCAAAACCAAAAGTATAATTATTAACCCACCATTATTCGAGTTTTGACAATGTTCAATGTTCAAAATAAAATTCAAATGATGCAGTGCAACTATTAAACATTGAATTTGCATCATTCAGTTTTCAAGGAATTAATCCTGCTCCGATTGACTTGACCTTGGCAATTAAGAGATTGAATGTGCCGCATAGTCTAGTATATAAAACTTCACTTCGCAGATGAACTACATATTTGATTCCATTTAAACTTATCCAATATATGATACACAGTTCTTTAACATATAAAGAGTTATGTTGATCTTGGTAACTAGCAGAGAAACCTAGGACGCGCGTTTCGTCCCTATTTGAGATTTGTCAGTTGGATGTACCTGCATCCTAGTGAGTGTTGTCCCCATTAAGGCTCGAAACCAGTATCCTATGCTTCAAACGTCAGAGAGTTATCTACTAAGCCACTGCAGCACGATAGCCACCTCTTGTGCCCATCTGCCAACAGAAGTCGAGCAATACGGCCCTGTATAGCAACAGGAAATGACAAGTATCATTACTAGAACTGGTTATTTGAAGCGAATAGGTTTCACTGTTTGAACAACCATTTCGTCTCAAAAGTACTTCAATATCCACATAACTGAAGCCCAAATGAAGAGTTTACAGTTTCCAGACCAAGTCTTTCTCACAGAACTCTTGATTACTTAGCTTGTTTTTCCATACATTGAGTGAGATATTAGCTGCCTTGACCTTCCAAACTAGATAACTTCAACAAGTAAACAACTTCCTAAATTACGTATCAAGTATGGGTATTATACTGCCTTATCAACTACAAGGAAGGACGGTTATGATGAGATCGAACATGGATATACTTCAGCCGTTTTAATAAACTTGCTTAATAAAAGATCTATAAAAAGTAGCTAGTAGGGATGGGAAGTAAAACTGGGATTCCAAATAATAAAAAAATCAATTTCATACTTATATCTCGAGGTGGGCTAAAACTTCAGGTAACCTAGTTCCCGCCTCAACTTATATATGTGATCCTATAAGAACTCAAATGATCAACAAAAAAAAATATGCTGAAGAATGAACCATGATCTCTCCTGTAAGAAATAATAACAATGTCTCTACTTAGTGCTATGTTCTGACTTGCTATTTTCAAAAGAATTCAGAAAAGCAAAACTACGTTAGCCAGAGCCTTGAAACAAAAGGTACTGTCCTTCAAATGTCACCTCCTAAATTAATATCTAGCAGAAACTTCAAAACCAAATTCCTCATTTCGTTGAACATCAACTGGTAAATAAACCGACAGATGGAACAATGTCTTGGAAGCTAACACAAAAAGTTATAACGGCTAAGACATCATCAAAAGTAAAACAATATACATGAAAAAAATTCCTACAATAACACCTCACCTAACTATTTGACTCGGCTGTTTTAAGGATAGAATGAGAGACGAAATCATACAACAGCCATAGTGTTGAGCAGCCATCTCTATTACTATCATTATTAATTGTCCTTTCGGTTCCCAGAGCAATATAGGGCTTCTGTAGCACATCGCCATTTCACTCTATTCTCTGCAGTCTTACCAACCTGGCTCCACGGCTACCCACAACATTTCATTTCTTCCTCACACGACCTCCTCCATATAACCCTCAGCTCCGACGCCCAACTCATCCTTCCAACCTCGGCTTACACTCGATGGCCTGACCTGTGGCGTGATGCCGCCAAATGGTTTTCCCAGTGTATATCCGATCCAAACCATCTCCACTTTCTTCTGCATATTTGTTGGGCGATGGGGTTGTTGGTTGATTCGATGGTAGACAGCCAGCCAACCAGAGTTCCTTGTTGCTGACTGTTTCTAGCCATCTATCTGACCTTCAGTATCGAGTGAGCGAGCGTAGATGGTAGCTGTTGATAGATGTCTGTAGTTCGTTGAATATGGTCTTCATAACGCGCCAAGTTTCTCAACTATATAGAAGCAATGACTTGACCGATATTAGTGTTGAGAATCTGGATATTATTCACACTTTATGCTGAGTGCGATGCAATGTAGTGGAGTAGATCCCCACACTGATTTCAGATTAATGAAGGAAGGCCTGTCTTGCTGTCTTTCCGATCGTGGCTTTGATATCCTTATGTGTGCCTGTGCCGCCTGTAGTTGAAACGATGCTGTCCTGTCTAGGTATGTGAAGGAGACAACTTCCTTTAGATTTCTCTCATTTATGGTAACTGGTGTCTCATCTTGTTGTTGTTGTTGTTGTTTGTTGGGTATCTTCATCCCACCTGCACCCTTTTCTGCTTCACTTCCCAGTGTGTCGTAGAAGTGTCTTTTGTCTTTCCGCACACTCTTCTTCACTTCTTTGTGCACTCTAGTGTTTCATAGCTTGTATTCAGTTCCAATTTTCATTGCTCATCCATTCACTGCACTGCACTGCTCTGTTCTGCTTTGCTCTGCTCCGGGTCATCTTCTGCTCCACCATCTTCCTCTCCCTCCTCTATCAGCTCCCATGTGTCCATCCACATCCATTACATTCCTTGTCTTGTTTCTCCTTCCTTCATTCCTTCCTTCCGTCCTAACACAGTTATCCAGGGTGCCTTCCACATCTTTTTCAAAGAGCTCCGGTGTTCTTCCACGTTGGTTTCTATGAGGATGTTGGTCAATGTCTCGCATTTTATCCTGATAGCTGACGTGAAGATGTCGTTTGTAGTTTCATCCTTCGGTCCCCGTTCTGGGTGTTCAACTGCAACTGTGTTCGATCATCACCAGTTAAACTGCAGTTAAACAGTTTGGAGAGTCCACTTCCATACCATCTGCAGATACCTCCCAGATTTCTAGCACTTCTATCTCCTACCTTCACATTTCTACTGGAATCTGGGTAGCCTTTCCAGCCAGCTTCAAACATAATGCGGACATTTCTTTTCCCCATTCTTATTTTCGCTTTCATCGAGAGAAGACGCACGGGCCGATTAGCTTCCCGAAGGCTTTCACCAACCGGCGTCATTTCGTCTCCCCAATCCAGCGAGGAATAAGTTTACTTTTGTTGTTTATATTTTTGGTGTCTTGAAGTTTCTTAAGCGATTGGATTGGTTTTACGGGGTATGGTTGCTAGCCCTATGCCTAACCTTCCCTCTTTATCCGGGCTTGGGACCGGATAGTAAACTAGCCGAGGTAGCCATCTTTAAGGGAGGACTAAGAAGCCCACTTTTAGGGAGCATGGCAAACGGTTTATAAACAGAAAAAATAATAATAAAACAGTTGCATATAACAAAGGTGAACGCAAACCTAGAAGTCCCTACACCAATAACACGAGAAACAACACTACCAAAACACTACAAGGTGTGAAAAAGAAAGGTATGGCCTCCACACTTCAATATCTGATACTCTTCTAAGCCAATGAATAAGATAGAGCCCCAAAAGGAATCTTAAAATAGAATGATCGATTTGCAGATGGTTAAAACTTGTACGGTCCACGTTGACATTTCTCACAGCTGAGTAGTTTTCCAACTCCCCAATTGTAGTGTCAATACGGCTTCCGCTGAAAACCATTCAGCCGAAATCAGATAGGATTATGAATTAGACAAAGATACTACTACTACTACTCCTTCCACTACTATTACTACTGAACAACTTCAGTGGTTAGATATCACTCAAGCTGATCTATGTATTTCGTCAACCACATGAGAGTGATCTAAACAACGAACGGCCATTTCGCTTGTTTGGGGTACCCAGATAAATTCAGCTCATTGAGCCGAACCAGTTCAGATCGCCTGAATCTGGCTAGCGTACTTGCACGAACCGGTATACCTCTAACAGAATAAACAATTTCCGAGTGATTTATAGGCTTTACGGTCCACGTTGATATTTCTCACAGCTGAGTAGTTTTTCAGCTGCCCATCTGCAGTGTCAACAGAGTTTCCGGGAACACCACTGACCCCAATCGAGCTAAACGACCTTCTGGTGTTCAGATTACTCTGTTCTGACTTCCGAAATACCACAAATCAACCTGAGTGGTTTCTAACTACTCACTTAAGTTGTTCGGTAGTAGTAGTAGTAGTAGTAGTATTATCTTCCAAACAGGATCTTATATCTTGCCGGAAAGGAGGTTGAAAAATTGTGCTATGTATCGTACGAGAACGAGACAACTGTCTAGTGTTTCCATGTTTGCAATGGTTCTTCAACTGATGTCATTTCATGACATACACTACCTTGAAGTCCATCAATCCTCACAAGCCTCCAAACTGGAAAATATAGTTCATGAAAACTAAAACTCTTTACTTACTCTCTTACTTACATGATCTCTAGTCACAAATACACAAAATTTGGAAAACTTTAATTTCCAAAAATAAGAAAAAGAAAATGACATAAGATCAAGTAACAGTAAGACTCACTTTTCAAGTTTCAGGAGAAGAATTAAATTCGAGCATGCCTCAGGATGTTCTAAAATGAATAGAAAATATAAGGAAAAACTAAGTTTAGAAGAATCAGAAATGACGTCCAACATAATAGGTTATGCTTGGTTCGCAGATTCTACACTTTTTTCAGCAACATAAAAATATAAAGTCAACAATAGCAAAAGGAAAAAAGAAAAAGAATCATTAAACAGGGAAAAAGTAATAGGATTTTCAATATTTAGAGGATGACTACATATAAATGAACTTATTCCTTCGAACCATGTTGTCTATGATTTTTACAGACTTTGGTCATTATTAACACTACGACAACGTCAAAAACAAAAACAAAAAAGATTCAATTTGGAGGTTTTATGGGGATTTATTGACTTCAGGTTTGTCTTCATTAAAGACTGAAATCAGTTGGAGAAACACTGGAAACCTGGTGCACTTGACCGCTGTTTCGTTCCGGTATGGTACACTTCAGTAATGCACACACACGAACTCGCACCCAAGGAGTCGAACCCTGGACCCCCAGGTTCCACTGTCAGCATATTACCATTGAGCTACTGAGTCAGAATCCAATGTTCCACGTTTCCTACTTCTGTCAGTTCATGATATAGCGCAACCTCCATCCAATCCAATGCCATAGTTGAGTAACTGTCATCATATTCGACTTGGTTGGCCCCATCAGTCAAAACTTCCCACTGAAACTTCGGGAATCATCCTCTTGAAGCCAGTCACCAACGAAAACTAGATTAATTCAATTTGAAGGTACCTTGGGGGTTTACTGATTTCAGGTTGGTATTCATCATGGACATCATGGGTGCGCACTGCTGAAGAGTCCCATAATAGTACGAAATACCTGTCCAGTGCTCCCACGTTTCCAATGTTCCTCAGAGTAATGTCAGTCCATGACGAATACGAACCTGGAAAAATAAAGAGTGAGTTGCTAACTTGACGGTTTTGCTTCATTTCATTATCTGATCCCTTCCAACTTTTTCTAAACACTAGTCAGCATACAATCTATGATCGAAAACATGAAAAGTTTATCAATTTCCAAGTTTCAAGAGTTCTATTTCACCTTTGTAAGAAGATAGAGACATGTGTGGTGATTTTCTGGTGGTTCTCAATTCTAGCTGGAGAACACAAGACCATAGGAATCATTGGCTAAAGATTCTTGGTGACAAAGCAGAAAATCGGTCACGATGGCAGAGATAGATTCACTCTTCGACATCTTCTAAAGCTCGAGGCATTTTAACTAGTCTTGATTTTGAACTTCTTTTAACCCATGTACACTTTTATCTACTTTGACACAAGTCTTCTTCTACACACTTGTTCTTTGCGTACCACTGTGAAATGTGATAACTTGAAGTTGTGAGATGTTTAGTTTATCTGTCTGTCTGCGGTTCTCAGTACTTTCAGCTTCGCTCTTGAATGTTTCACCGCTAGGCTAGGCAACTGCATCAGCACTTACCTCTTTATGAAACACTTAAGAAAGAAATTCAAAGCCAGAAGAATCCTATTCATGCATCATTTTCATCAAATCTGCTCGACTATCTCAAGAGAAGAATGTTTCGCAATATAATTGTACTAAGACAAACACTAGCATCGCTATAGTGTCGTTGATTGTGTACAATATTAAATATTCAGCAAAATTTTGTATACATGCGGAGATTTCGTCAATTAACAGGCCATTCAAATCGATAGGATTCTCCGAGTACGTTACCATTTTCTCCAGAGGTTTGAACAAACCAGTTTTACACTCTACAGATGTGAAACACTTCCTGAACACTAACGATTTCTTGAAGACTTTCCAAACATCTTCCAACATTTCAACTTCATAATTATCAGTTCATAAGCACAATATTTCAGAGTTAACCTGATATACCTTCACCTAATCCGTTCATATTCTCTAGTGGAACACTCAAGACACTGACTGATGCAATTATAGCCTTTCTAAACGGAGTGAACAATACCAGTGATACTCAAAATCCGAAAAACGTCCGAAACTAAACATAAAACTATTACTATCTATTCACATTTCTTTTATGAAATCAGCTTATGTTTCAGTTTCCTGGGCTTGTACAAAGCATAAGGCCAAAATAATACTTATATATTAAATTAAAGGGAGTTCTCTATGAAAGAAATAATACACTTTTACCAAGTTTGTCAGATGAAATCAAGCAAAAACTAACTTGTTTGAAAATAACTTCAGGGCACATAACACAGTTCTGCGAATAGGTGGAGAACATTCGTAGTTAAGGAGGAGGATTTTCATGTTGTGTTCTCTGAGGTGAATGGTACAATCGTGAAACTTTCATTGTCATTCTAGACAAAATTGTCAGCAGAAACTTCAGAAAGAAGAGAAGAGCTATGAACATTTTCTCTTCAAGTAATCTAGTACCTTGTACTGGCGACTTTGAGTATAAATTTCTCCGCAGTGATGCTGTTATTTTCTTTCGAAGTATTTCCCTTGGCCGCTTCATCAATGTGAATTCCGACCTGGTTGTTTGTCATTTTTCTCATTAATTGATAGATTGGGTCAATATCAATATGCCTAATGATACCTAACTGATGTGAACGCTAATAATTGTAGAACGGCCATCCACACAATTTCATCCAAAGAAGTTTGTCAGATTCGCTGTCAACAAAGCAAGTCACCTCTGAAAACCGAAAGACTAATTTTACTTACTATACATCTAGATCACTGGAACCTTCAGGAAATGCAGTAGCCTACACACCTACGAAATCTCGCCACGTTGCAATATTGAGACCAAAAGATATAATTACTGAGGACAACAAGTTTAATGTTATCTACGAAATAAAGTGGAAGAGCTATGAAAAATACTCTATTAAACAGAGTAACTACCCACTTTGTGTTCATCAGCCAGCGAACTAATATCTTGAAAATGAATGGATGAAATGCACTCGGAAGTCTAACGCACATTCACGAGATAGGCAATCAGCCACACCTATTGTGCGAGGGCTAATGATAATACCTGGTTGCCTGAACTTCGGACAGGGGCTAGAACCCATGACCAAATAATCGAAGGTCATTACCGTAAACCAATGAACTATAGCCCCATTCAAAATATCTTCGTTCATATCAATCCATGCGGACATGACAAGGAATTTTTTAAAAGCTTGGCATTCATTTAAGTCAACGATCAACAGGCATATTAACACTGACTCCAACCAACCAGAAGCACAAAGAACAAGATCGCCAGGACGGCTAATCGAAATGCCAGTACAGATAGTGCCAACATAATAGCAGAAACATGCAATCACACCTTAAGTCATCAGAACAAGCTACAGGATCTCCTTTAGAAAAATCCTCATAGACCTATTCTTTCTGAAATTTGTGTTGACATCCATCCATCCATCCAAGTCAACATAGGACCAGGCATTACTGCGTAATAGTTCGAGTTCCCACACCTTATATCAGTATATCAGGTAAAAAGGCAATGAAGTGGAAGGTAAAGAAAAGAAAATTCAGTGAAAAGAAATATAAAGTACCAAAACCCAACCGTCTCAGTCGATGAAGGTTCACAACCACATCAACTGTCTTACCTCACCCGCCTAAAACTCTACGTCTAACCTTTGCGTTACTCACGTAGTGACACGACAGAATACAGCCTATACTATGAAGGCGACGGTGGTCAAACACTTGAAGCCTTCCCATGTCTTCCACCTTCAATGGCCACGTTTCACAGCCATACAATAGAACACATCGGATCGCTGTGCAGTACCATTCTAGGTAAAGTTTGTGGTGACAACTTTACTTAGAATGGTAATGAAAGTTTCACGACCTATTCACATAGATCAGAGAATACAATGTCACCAAATTAGAACAGATTACAAATAAGCAAAGATTGAAACACAAAAAGCTATTTCTAAAAGTGTTAGCTGTTTCGATAAATAAAAAATATGCTTAGAATGTTAGACATAATCATCAACACTAGGAATTGAACAGCTACATAGGTTTCCCTCTGGTAACCAATTCATGGAAAATCAGAATATAAAAAATGGCAAAGAAAGGTTAAATGATTAAATTAGTTAGTGTCAGGTGCTTCATGTGACTTTACAATGAGTCTGAACTGCACTTGAATCATCCAAGCCAACTGACGACAACAGATCTATTGACATTTGACTCTACTGCTAGGAATTCATTCTTTCACTAACCATTCTTTTTGTACACTGTTCAATAAAAGGACAACTATTGTTAAACACGTTAAATTCAACAACATTAAAATTGTTTCCTAATATTTTGAATGTCTTACTACTGCGACTACCACTACTAACACTTTCGTACAATTTTTGGTGCTTGAAAGCTTGAACCATTAAAGTATACTTATGTCAGAAATTAGGCGTGTCACGAAAAGCATTTCCAACAAACTACATATATACATCAACAACTGCCGCCTACGCTCTCTCACTCGATACTGAAGATCAGATAGATGACCAGAAAGAATAAGCAACAAGGAACTCTGGCAACGAACCAACCAACAACCTATCACCCAACAAATATGCAGAAGAAAGTGGAGATGGATTGGATTGGGGACATCACGCGCCAGGCCAGGCCCTTGGGCGGAATCCAAAGGGGAAACGATGAGTTGGGCGCCGGAGGGTGACATGGAGGAAGTCGCGTGAGGAAGAAATGAGAGCTTGTGGGCAGTCGTAGCGCCAGGTTCAAATGACTACAAAGAAGAGAGGAAAATGGCGACGTGCTGCTGAAGCCCTATGTTCCACTAGGAACCCTGGGGAAGAATAAATAATAATAATGTCATTAAACACCATCAGCTAAAGAAGAAAGGAAAACAGTATCACCGTTTTCAATAAATTTCTGATGAAGATCTATACTATTCTTAATTCTCATTTTGACTACCTGAGATACCAGTGGTTTAACAGATTAGTATTGTTACTGGGTGACGATTAAAGATGAAATGGAAATTTAGATCACAGCAGGATACAAACCAGCAACCACGGGGTTTTTAGCTCAGTGCTCCAAGAACTGAGCTACGAGGTCCGACTGCTGACCATATTTTTATTTCACTTCAATCACCAAAGGTTTGGTCCCACTACCATGTGAATTTGTGACGCATTACTACCGCTTGATCGTACTCACACTGGCTGTCCAGTCAGGACTTCCTATCCCAATCCAAATCTAACTGAAATAGAGAGGGGCAGCATCATATTGATTGTCACTTTGACTATCTGAGATAGTCGTTGTTTGACAGTATTGACACTTTCGATATTATATCGCCGTGCGACTTCCCAGATATGAAATAAAATAAAATTCTAAGAAATAAACGACAGGATGGTGTGAGCAGCAAAGAATGGGAGATCGTAAGAAGACATCCATTAAATAGTGAATGAATGTAGGTTGGCAACTATGTACCCTAGATAACAAGTCACTTACAAATCTGAAGAGGCAAAGTGCTACAATCGTATGATCTTGAAACGGTGGAGAATATTTGTAGCTGAGGTAGAGTGCGATTTGAACATGATATTCACTGGTTTAAAACTGTCCACTTAGACCAGTGAGCAATACATTCACATATTACATACCTTTTTATAAACAAAAACTGGATATTTCGTAACATGAAACAATAAATGATTAAATCAAGATGAACATTAATAACAACTCATAAATGTATTCGAAGCATCGAAATCAAATGAAATTGAAATATATTCACAGTCACCTTGTACACAGTTATGCAGTCGGCAATGAGTCATACCTATTAAGTAAGGGCTATTGATGAATCCTGAACTCGATATTCAGCTGACACTAGAATAAGACAACGCGACTGAAAGTATATTTAGCCCAACCGCATAATAATAGCTGAAAACTCAGTCGTTTATATATCCTTAGATGGTCTTGGCTAGGGAATACAAAATAGTATATTAAAAGTGCAAAATGGACCAATCAGCATTTAGTATCTTAAACTACGGTAAAAATAGGTAACACGGATAATATATAAACATATCATTAGTTTTTTTAGGGGTTAGGCATCCCTAACTACTTAGTTGCCTAAAACCTTGGTAGGTGGGGGCGGGATTCGAACATGTAACCCGCTGATTGAAATTCATCTCTCTAAACCAATGAGCCATAACACTACCATTCAGAGGCATCATGTCCACTGATACATTGGATAAGGAATCCATGAACGCAACTGCTACCTAGTGGTGGTCCAGGTTGTCAACTGTAACGAATCATATGAGGTACGCTGGTTGAAATGCTTATTCCTTCAGGAATTCCAAGAAGATTTATCGGAAAGAGCGTTTTCTTAGTAAGGAATTGCGAAGTATCCCATAGAGCATGTTTACTGTCTGATATGTTTGTCATACCAACTTCTAAACAGAAAGAGTTTAAAAGTGTGATTTCAAAAAGGAATAACACTTGACAAATATCACAATTACTATTATATATCGAAGCATAAAAAGATAACAGTAGACTATACCAATTTAACAGGCAACTTACTGAATGAATCAACTGAACGAATAAGTGGTAGAAATCGACTAGTTGGAATTTCATGCGCATTAATTAATTGCCAAAAAAATAACTGCTCAATAGAATTCCATTCAAGACTAGCATCTGATTCGCAACATGTTTTGAAAGTAATTATAGTGTTGTTTAATGTAAGGGGGGAAAAAAATATGAATAAAATATTTAGTGAATAAACTGAATACTGAAATATCATATGTTTAACCTTTTATAAATCAATGCGTTTTCTCTTTGGAAATCTCTGCAGAGATACAAAAGATTTTTGTTAACTTACATTATCTGTGACGCCTCTATAATATTCGATTGTTTATTAGGGGACCAGCATACTGTGCCGTAGTCCGCTATTTTCTACTCTATGACTGTAAAACAGGCATTAAAGGTAGAAGATATGAGAAGGCTTCAGGTGTTTGACCACCGATGCCTTCGTAGTATAGGCCGTATTCCGTGGTGTCACCACGTGAGTAACACAGAAGTCAGGAGCAGAGTTTTAGGGAGAAGAGGTAAGTCGGTTAACCCGGTTGTAAACCTTGATCGACCGAGATGGTTGGGACACGTGTTACGTATGCCTAGTCGCCGATTGTCTTGTCATACAATGTTGGCCGAAGTAGGCTCCGGTTGGAAAAAGGCTTGGAACGGCCGGACTAAAACTTGGCATCAATGCATAAAGTTGTTGACTGTTGGTTTGAGCCATATGGGGCGATGCAGACTAGGTGGTTGGGGTCCACGGGACAAGAGGAACCAGTGGTTGGAGACTCTAGTTGATATGTCCGAGAACTGATATCAGTGGCGCAGATGTGTACACGCATTATCCTCATCTTATCCGCTATACTAAATCTCATCATCTCATTCTTCCTTCCTCTCTTTCTTTCTTTCTACTTCTATTTGCTTTGACCTATTTTTCTTCCCTTCTTCATCTTCCATTTTACTGCCTTACTACTTGATATGCTGATATGACGTGTGGCAACTCGGACCTGGTCCTACGTTGATCTTGATTGGTTGAATTGATTGTTAGGATGGGTAGACAGAACCTTGAACTCGATCGGTTACATAGGAATGCTTTTGATAGAAAATAAGCGCAGGTACACAGGACTGGAAAGTAATGATGTTTTTGAGAAACTGGAATCTATGAACTTTAGGAAACTACACTTATTCACATTCTACAGTTGGTAATGGAAGTATACTGATTATTGCACCGCCTCCAAAGAAAGTAAAAAATACGAATATACAAGCAGTTCAAACAATGGACAACGGAGTTGTAATCTCTTGTTTAATTGTTCTATACAATAGTACAGCAAGCAAACTGAAGTCCAAAACTTCGAAATAAATCAAATAAACTGTGTTTCATGATTAAAAACTGACCTCTTCATTATTACTATTATTATCGTTATTATTATCATCATTATTATTATTATAGCACAACAGTACACATATCGACTTAGTTTATACGACTTGTAATGCCTACAATGAAATGGTTATGTTCTCAGACCATTGTTAGTGTCTGAATAACTTAATTTTCAAGAGGATACTTTATTCAGTCACGGTAACGAGAAGTTCGTTCAATGAAGTCGTAGAGATCGTTCAATTGGGTAATTACAATTATTACTATTAAAGAATAGTAAACCACGTTGTAAGGTTATATTAGCAAACATTGTCCACTTTAATCCTATACTATATTGTATCTTCTTCGTTTGTGCACTCGACAGTTATTATATCTTGCGTTAACCGGTGTTACACCATATAAATTCCTATAAATGGCGTTCACCACAACGCGACTATTAAGTTTGATCTTTAAAATATAAATACAACAAAAACCAAACATTAACATTCATCTTATCTGACAAGGTGGTCCAACTGGGTGACCTCTAGTACAGTCCTTCCTTATCATAACAACTTTCTCTAAGAGTTGCATAATATGGAGACCATACTTTTGACACTATTAACTAAATGACTCTCAGAAAACTTGTAAAAAAAAACACTCTCGAAACTTATCCCTTGATAATAAAAAAAATATATGGCAGTCCAGTACCCCTGTTTGACTAGATGACTTTAAAACGCGGCCATTACAGGTGGAGGGTATCAGAAAGCTTCAGGGTTTTGACTACTATTGCCTTCGTAACATCGACCATTGTGCTATGGTGTCACTTCTCCTTGTTTCACGACTACCAACTACTTTGACCAATTTCTTTATATTTTATTGTCAAGCATTCTACCTTGATGTACCTAATATGACGTGCGATAAAATGAATCACTATGCAGTAATTCCAAGACTTCCACGTTTATCCCGGTCTGACAGAATGAAAAAATGCTACTTCAATAGATAAAACCAATGAAGGAACAACATAAAGTGTAGAATAAAAACATCTCCACATGATATCTTGTATTGAATTCTATAAAAAATCACGAAACCTAGATCCGATTAGGATGTCGTCTCCCGACTGACTCTCAACATCTAAAACTGAAATATACAGCTCACTTCAGTCACAGCTGACAATCCAAAACGTTGATAATCAATACTAGGCATTAACGGGACTTAGACAACTTTATCGACTACCCAATGATGATTGATTTGTATAATAAATCGTATTAACTATCGAACAGTGTAAGAAGCAGTTTACATTTCCTTAAAGTTGAACAAATATCGGATTTGAAGGGGGAACAGGGTGGGCAAGATGTTAGCAAATAGCTTACAAGGAGACTAATAATAATTTCAAAAAAACTTACTTAGAATATTGGTCAAATCGTTATTAGGGAAGAGATTCAAGTGACCACGTACTATTTCACTAATAAGAGAGTTGCACATTCCTGGATCAATTGTAGCAACAATTAATTGAAGGAATTCAGTGTCATCTTTCAATTCAGATGAAAACTAGTTTGTTTGTTCGTTGTTTTTTTTTTAACAAAGTAAAAGAAAGATACATATATCAAAAGGATTATTCAATAATGCATTTTTGTAAAATATATTTCAAATTATCCCCTTTAATTCCGCTATTACTAACACTATTCAGATGGAAAAATTATTTCTTTTAAAAATATTGGTCGGAGAGAGTATTTGTTGAAATATCACCTGTTGAAAATTCCATAATGTATCAAACATGTTGTTTGGAACGAAGCGACTATTATTATTATTATTATTATTATTATTATTATTATTATTATTATTATTATTATTATTATTACTATCACTATATACTTCTAAACCTGTTTATGAAATTCGAATCAGGTGGAGGAACTGACACAATTCGTAATCACATAGCAATATACGAGACTGCAGAGAAAAAAGACTGAAGAAACCAGTACAGCTCAAAATTGAATGTTTCTGTTATACAATTCTCAAAACGTTTATCTTATCAACGAAGGAATAAACGAATCCAACCCAAAACCAATTTACATTTATACTTAGTGAGTAAAGTCAAATAGATGGGAACTGACTATACACATCTATATACTACTATGCTACTATATAAAACGACTGAGTAGGTGAGAATACACAGAAACGTATCAGTAATCAGTCTGACATAGTTTACTGTTTACTGTTTAACTCAAAAGGTCTAGTAGAAAGCAAGAAATACCAGAGAATCTGCCAATTCGTAGCCCATACGTGTACACTTATTAACCACGTTTAGTATGAACTGAACCTTAAATAAAAGCGTTAAAATATGATTCACAATGCCAGATAAACAACCAGGACTACATTCATCAATGACTTCAACATTCCAAATGACAGAAAGAGTCAAATTATAGAAAAAAAAAACAAATCATCATTAATATCAAAACAAGATCAAGCATTACTGAATAAAGGCCCAACTTGTAACGCCTCATATCAGCTCATCAGGCAACAAAGTAGCAAGATGAAACACAAAGAAATAAAGAAGAATTGTTCAAAAGCCGTAGAAAGTATTAGAAGAAAGGAAGGGAGAATAAGAAAAATATAGAGTTCAGTTCGATGATTCAGATGAAGATAATATGTGGACACATCTGTCCCACTGACATCGATTCTGACCAATGTCACCTAGTCTCTAACAACTAGTTTCTATTTCCACGGGGACCTCAACTGAGAAGTTAACATTTCCCTACACGGATCAGACCAACAGCCAAAGACTTCATATAATGATGTCATGTTTTAATGCGGCAGCTCCAAACTTCTTCCCGGCCTGAAGCTACTTCACAGCTAACATTACGCGATGAGGCAGATGATGACTACGCATGTGTAACGCATGTCCCAGCCATTTCAATCAACGAAGATTCACAAGCATATCAACTGACTTCCCTCTTCTTTATGATTTTGACAAGAAAGCCCTTCTTCCAGTCATTCGGCAGGTACCTTCCCTTCCTTCCAGACCTTCTGCATTTGTGGTATCAGCATGTCCACTGTTGTCCCTGCGTCTGTTTTCACTGATTCTGGAAGAATTCCATCTAGTCCTGATGCTTTCCCGCATTTCACAAAACTTTATGCAGTTCAGGACTTCACTTCTGCTTCCATCGGAGGGCTTGTGCTCACTGGTAGTTCTGTGACTGGACTGCGGTGCTGGTCGTATTTCTGGACGAGTTGTCGGTAGTGGAAGTGGTCGATTTAAGAGTTTTTGAAGTGGTCAGTTCATCCTTTCCCATGTTTCTTCTCTCCCTTTGATGGTAACTAAGTTTCCTTGACTATCTCTCATCGGTTTCATCTGTGTTCATCTCTTCTCTCCCAGATAGTAACCTAGTTATTTGATATGATGTTGTCAGTTCTTTATCTCTCCTACCTGCACCCTGTTCTGCTTCACTTCCCAGTGTGTCGTAGAGGTGTCTTTCGTCTTTCCGCACACTCTTCTTCACTTCTTTGTACACTCTAGTGTTTCATAGCTTGTATTCAGTTCCATTTTCATTGCTCATCCATTCACTGCACTGCTCTGTTCTGCTCTGGTTCATCTCATGCTCCACCATCTTCCTCTCCCTCCTCTATCAGCTCCCATGTGTCCATCCACATCCATTACATTCCTTGTCTTGTTTCTCCTTCCTTCCTTCCGTCCTAACACAGTTATCCAGGGTTCCTTCCACATCTTTTTCAAAGAGCTCCAGTGTTCTTCCACGTTGGTTTCTATGAGGATGTTGGTCAATGTCTCACATCAGGTCCTGATAGCTGACGTGAAGATGTCGTTTGTAGTTTCATCTTTCAGTTCCCGTTCTGGGTGTTCAACTTCAACTGTGTTCTATCATCAACTTCTTTGAAAGCTTTCAACTTAATTTGGAAGGTTCCTTGCACTAGATAGTGGTCTCAACCTACATTATTGACTCTCCATCTGCAGATTCCTCCCAGATTCCTAGCACTTCTATGCTATACCTTCTCATCCCTTTTGCAATCTGCGCAGCGTTTCCAGCTAGCTTTAAACATTTTGCCGACATCACATGTCCCCATGCTTACTTTCACTTTCATCTAAAGAGAGAGAAGATACGTCGTTTAATTGGCTTCCCGGAGGCTTTCACCAACCGGCGTCATTTCATCTCCCCAACCCTAGCGAAGAATAAGTTCATTCTTATTCTTCATATTTCGTCTGTGCTTTGAAGTTTCTTTAGCGATTGAATTGGTTTTATGTGGTAGGGTAGCTAACCCTATGCCTAACCTTTCCCCTTTATCCGGGCTTATGATCGGTTAGAACCTAGTGAAATAGTAAACTAGGCGAGGTATAGTAATGACGGTATGATACAAGCAACAACATTCAAACTATACCCGTCGTACAAGAAGTGGCTATCGTGGGTCGGTGGTTTAGTGAATAACGCTCTGGCGTTTGGACCAATCGGTCTCCAGTTTGAATCCCGGTGGGAACAACATCACTCACTAAGAAGCAGGTACATCCAGTTGACGAGTCCTAAATAGGACGAATACGCATCATGGATTCCACTTCTAGCCAACATCCATCACTATATTATATTATTGCTATTATTATTATTATTCTGAATATCTGAGATACCTGTGGTTTGACAGACTAGTATTAATACTGGATGATGATTGAAGGTGGAATGAAAATTTGGACCGTGGAAAGATTCCGACTAACGACGAGTCTTTTTTCGATGACAATTTGTGTTGTGTGAGAAAGTGTATAACTTAAAACAGTGAAAATAATTAAAACTTGTCTTCATGATACATGAGTTTTATCCATCTCCATAAACGTTATAACGAAGCATTAGAAATGTGTATTAATGTAATCACAAAAAGACGAACAATACACTAATCCTATTACATCACTTTAGATTGAACGATTTATAAACTAATATAATTTTACCGATCTTGAAATCATACACTTTCAAAGTAAACTTATAAACTATTTATGACACGTTAATGTAGAAAAATAAGAATTTGAAAACATATGAAATCTATTAAATAATCAGTGGAATGAATGTATTGTGAATAAATTTTTTAATGATATTCTGAGTAAAATTACCAAAATAAAAAACTTATCATTGTATGTGAACTTATCATTAATTCATTCCATAATACACAAATTTTTCATTGACATATTTTTGTTATAATCAATGTTGGGGCAAAATATCTTACTCATGGATCGTGGCTGGAAAGTGGAATCCAGGATGCGCATTTCGTCCTGTTTGGGACTCATCAGCTGCACAGCAGTCCGCTCTGTTCTACTGTATGGCTGTGAAACATGGCCATTGAAAGTGGAGGATACAAAAAGGCTTCAGGTGCTTGACCACCGTTGCCTTCGTAATATAGGACGTATTCCGTGGTGTCACTATGTGAGTAATGCAGAAGTTAGGTGTAGAGTTTTGGGGAGAAGAGGTAAGTCAGTCGACGAGGTTGTGAACCTTCATCGACTGAGATAGCTGGTTGGGACACGTACTACGTATGTCTAGTCACCGATTGCCTCGTCACACAATGTTGGCTGAGGTGGGTTCAGGCTGGAAAAAGGCCCGAGGTGGCCAGACTAAAACATGGCACCAATGTTTCAAGTCTCTGACTGTTGGTTTAGGCCATGTAGGACGATGCAGACTAGGTGGTTGGGGTCCACGGGACAAGAGGAACCAGTGGTTGGAGACCCTAGGTGATATGGCTCAGAACCGGTGTCAGTGGCGCAGATGTATGCACACATTATCCTCATCCTAACAACGCTATACCGAATCTCACCATTTTGTCACTCCTCTTTCCTTTCTTCTCGTACTTTATATTTCTTTTGACTGCATTCACTTATCTTCATCCTTCGCCTCACTACCTTTTTACTTGATATGCTGATATGAGGTGTGGCAACTCGGACCGTTACGCAGTAATGGCTGGTCCTATGTTGATAATGATGATGATGATGACCTGCCGACTCCCAGTGAGTGATGTTATTCCCACCAAGATTCGGACTCGGGAGCGATCGCTTTAAATGCCACAGCGTTATCGACTACACCACAGAGCCACGATAGCCACTTCTTGTGCGACGGGTATAGTTTTTAGTATAACTGTTCTTATCCCGGTGGGAACAATATCACTCACTGGGAAGCAGGTACATCCAGCTGGCGAGTACGAAATAGGACGAAATGCGCATCGTGGATTCCACTGCTAGCCACGATCCATCATTAACATAATTAGAACACTGGCAATATCGAGGCATCCGCACAAGAGCACATATGCCGATGGAGACCGATCAATTCGGTCCAATCAACGATGGTATCACATAAAAACAATTATACTAAAATATCTTACTGCTTGAACAAAGCTGAAGTCGACATTCAAATCGAAATGCACTCAACAACTCTGAGCACATTCATGCAGTAGGCAATGAGCTACATCATCTATTGTATTAAGGCTAGTGATACTACCACCTAGCTGTCCAAACCATGGTACGTGGATCGGGGTTGGACTTATGACCAACACGTTGAAACTCAACTTCCTAAACCGAAGACCTACAGCTCCATAGTGGGAAGTCAAAAAGAAATCACTGTCAGGCGTCAAGAATTGCAGCAAATTTCAATTTCCTAGAGTAGCCAACCTTGTGTCGATATCGATGTATCATAATGCAAAAGAAAGCCCATAATTTGCAAATGTGAAGGATTGTATCACTTCAGACTGAAGTCAGATATACCTCTGATATATGTGAAACAGTTTTGAAATAGCATCTTTACCTGACAAGCTTCATAGAGCAATCGATGAACCACAACCATTGTATCAAGGATGATAGCACTACCTGGACGTCAAAACATTGGTAGGCCAAATAGGGTTAGGATATGTGATCTACTTCTTGAAAACTAACTGCCTAGTCAATCATTGAGCCAAAGCAGATTGTACTACAGTATGTTCGTGTCAGCTTATTGAGAATGTTTGATGATAATCTGCGTAAATACGAGAAAGCATTAATGATCTTTTTTCAATTGATATAAGCTTCAGTTTGTAGCTCAAAGCGATTACAGCTAACTGGAAGTTCCAGAGATCTCTTTATTGATTTCAGGTTGGTATTCATCATGGACTGACATAAGTTGGAGAAGCAGTGGAAACCTGGGAGCACTGTAAAGCTATTTCGTCCCAGTATGAGACTCCTCAGCATAGCGTACCCATGATCCCGCACTCTCAGGAATCGAACTCGGCACCTTCAGGTTCTACGGTCAACAGGTTACCATTGATCCACTGGGTCGGGATCCAATGGTTCATATTTCCTGCTCCTGTCAGTTCACAATACAGCGTGATCTCTATCTAATGTCATCGTTGAATGACTATCCTCACGTCCAACTTGTTGGCCTCACCGGTCACGACCTCCCATTAAAACTTCGGAAGTTGACTTCAGGTTGACTAGTGAGAACAGTTACTCAACGTCAGCACTGGATGGAGGTCGCGCTATATAGTGAACTGACAAAAGTAGGAAATATGAAGCATCGGATTACGACCCAGTGACTCAACCTAAAGGTCCTAGGTTCAATTCTTGGGAAACGGGGTCATGGCAGAGCACTACTGAAGAGTCTCATACTAGGACGTAACAGAGGGCCAGTCCTCTCAGGTTTCCAATGCTTCTCCAGCTGATAGCCAGTCCATGACGCATACCAACCTGATTACAGCTAAATGGATTTCCTGAGTGATAATGGTAAAAGAAATAAAGGGGGGAAGGTAACCCCTGTATATGGATTCAAAAAGTGCGTGATAAACCCTTTTTTCTATTTCAGCGCTAACGATAACACGTCTACATCCAAACTCCACAAATCATGTTAAATGGGAATCTGTTCATTATATCCAGATATTATGAAAAACTACTTTTCAAAGTACTTTGGAATTTTCATTTTACAGCAACATTCGGTTATCAACGATGGCATATCAAACCAAATCATCTTACTTTACCTCAGTATAGAGAGGAAAAATCAACAGAGACGAAGGCTAAGAACTCAAAATGATATCACTAGTCACAAAGAAACTAGGTGATGCACAGGAAACAATAGGAAATAGACCAACAAAGAATAACATTATCATGATGAAAGTGAGAAGTAAGCATATTTTGTGCCTTTGCTATTAATCCTGCACGCCTCCAGTGATCTCAGAGAACAGAGGTCACTGGAGGCGTGCTACTGAAGCCCTATGTTCCACTAGGAACCCAAGGGACTAATAATAATAATAATAATATCCACTTATCGTTTTCACGCCATACTTGATCTTAAGTAGGCGACTGAATATCTTATCAGTAAGTTGTTAAAAGTCAGTCGACCCTTTCGACGACCGGTATACGTACGTCCTCAGGGTTGATGTTAATTCACACAGAAGTGAAGTGGTCGACAAGTTCAAACATTTTGTTCCCGACTAATCCAAAAGCAACAATTTGTATTTCGAAAAGTCAAAATGCATTTTAAACATTTGTAAATCGTTTCAAAACTAAGGTATGCTTTTGGTCATGGTGCATCATTTGACAAGTAAAATTGTATTAAACCAGCGACTGTGGATGGAATATATTTGACATATGCTATCCTAGTGTCTTGATAACCCCCCCCCTCCCCCCGCACACACACACACACACTGCTTACTGGCTCTAAAACTGGTTGGAAGAACTGAAACGGTCTTTGATGTCAACAATAAATTCCTACTATGTCGACAGCCGGGAAGTACCGATCACAAACATGCTTCCAGAAACACAAAACTCACATAACTGTAACCCACTTTTTCTCACCCTTATCTCTTCTCTCGACTTTACTACTTGCTACAGTTACTAATAATAGGCCTCTAACAATTCTTTCTTCAGCTTCACACTCTCCAATAATTTCTAATAATACAAACCAAGAAAAATAACACTCCTAGTCTCTACATGCTACAATCTCGTTTCTCATAATGTCAATGGCAAAAACTTCATGTCCAACAGCTGTATGTGACAGGAAATGATAATGTTTTAAATCTCCAGTGAAAAAACCATACAATTTCCTTTCAGTACCTTAAATCCTCAAGTATGAATATGAATAGGATAAAGTTAATTGTGTGTGATATTGAAAAATCGAAATCTACTCAGTAACCACGTAGCACTTGTTGTGTGAAGGCTAACGATACTACCTACATTTGGCTGCTCAAACCATTGACCGACAACTTTAGCAGCATCTAGAAAGGTTAAACCTATGCTCAACTAATAAATAAAACTACTCATTTAGCAAACAAAACTTACCACAGTAAATACGTCTGGAAGAAGATAAGCGAATAAACGACGATTATCATCCGACAGTAGCTGAAATTCACAACGTTGAAGTTTTTGAAAATTCAGTTCCATGTATCCGAATTATAATAATAATAATAATAATAATAATAATAATAATAATAATAATAATAATAATAATAATAATAATGAATAGGATATATCGTAAAAAATTATCTGCAAATTTGAGAAACAGTTTTGAGCTAAAGAAAACGTGAGAAACTAGATAGATGATAAACAAATGACCTAGGAATAGTATAGTTAAGTGCCTACAACCTTTCAAACGTAAGCAAGGGATAGATAATACTGTTTTATGAAAGAAGACCAAGTAAATTTCAGAGAAGAGTCTATTTTCAGCGATTTCATTTTCAAAGCTTTACAATAGCAAATTTATACATTTTTTTTTTGATAGTTAAAAACGGTTTGGCAACACAAATAGTATCAATAAATGAGCTGTCATTAAAATTATATCTCTTGCTATTCTCATTAGACGAATCTGTTAGTTCCGATGTGTTAAGAAGAGAAAATTTCTGTTCTAAAGAACATCCTGATTGAAAACAGATTCTCATCACGCTTTATAGACAAACACATCAAGTCTACACCTCCCAAAGAGAGCCTTACCACCTTGTCAAAAAAGACACTCTAAATGAATGTAAACTTCAAAGGTGACACCCTAAAAAGAAGGATATCAAACGCTGTAAGCAGAACATTTTTTGCATCAACGCATCATCCAACGATTTCTAACAACTCAGAGGAGAAACAATCACATCTGACCGTTTCTATGTGCATATATATATCAATTCACCTGCTCCTGTAGAACCAGGCATATAGGTTGTTCGATGCAACTGTTATCTAAAAGGGTTCAAGAACACTATCCAGCGTGGTTACAAAGAGGTAACAATGGAGCGATAAGAAGTGCTATAACTGAACATATCTCAAGAACCTCCTCGTTCAAAGTCATCTATAAAGTGATAAGAAACCTTCTAAAGGCTGTATGTCTTCGTATTCTCTGCATCACCATCGAAAAAGAGAAACCTAAACTGTGTACGCGAAAGAAGGTTGTTCATGGTCTTAGTTTTCAGTCTTTGAAGTCTTCTCTACACCCCCCCCCCGTTTTCTGTTTTGACACTACTCACTTCTTAAGTAATTTGTTACTCATTCTTGTTGCTATGCTCTGCCTGATCATAATTCAACTTCCAATTGTGTCGTCATGTTACGAAATTTCTTGTCCAAATTTACTTAGATTAATATTCACTACTCATCAGTTTGTGATTTTTTGATTTTAATAATAGCTCACATGATTGACACTATTTCTGTTGCCATGCTTGACAAACCATTCTTAATTAATTTGCGATTGTACAGCTTTAAAAATGAAATCCCCGAAAAGGGACTCTTCGTTGAAATATACTTAGTCTTCTTAGATATTCTGATGGGTATATATCACACACTGAAATACTGTCTTAGCCAACAACTTTGAGCCTTTTTTTCACTCCCAAATAACTCATAATCCAAATGAAGTCATAAACATTGACATCTGGTAGATACAGGCATACTTAGACATACTGTACACATAATGTTACAGCTAAACTTATTCAATTGCAATACACTCATTAACGACTGCCTATGGTGGCTCGTTACTGAAGATCAGACGAAATGGCCAGAATAATAAGAATAAGCAAAAAGGAACTCTGGCTGGCATTGAACCAACCAAGAACCTATCACCCAACAAATTTGCAGAAGGCAGTGGAGATGGATTGGGCATACACTGAGAAGACCATTCGAGGACATCACGCGTCAGGCCCCCGGGTGGGACCTAGATGGGAAACGACGAGTTGGGCGTCCGAGGCAAAGGTAACATGAAGGAGATAGTGTGAGGAAGGAATGAGAGCTTCTGGGCAGTCGTGGAGACAGGTTCAAAGGACCGCAGAGAACAGAGTGGAATGAAGACGTGCTACTGAAGCCCTATGTTCCACTAGAAACCCAAGGAACAAATAATAATAATTTTAACAGAATGGTGATAACACTATTGGTGTATACAGTAGATCACCTCTACTAATGATGGCTTGATATGTTCAAGTGAGTAAAATAACTCCCGAAGCCATTTCAACAATACACAGATAAAATTGATTCACTTCTATAGATACTTGAAGTGTTAAGTAATTGTAGATTTGGATTACTTCCAGAAGATTGAAAGCTATCTACTAAGCAGTATGATTAACAGGTTTGAAAAGTGTTACAAGTAGTAAGAAAAATCATGACTATTCGATCCATAGAAAAGATGACAAGAAATGAATCCATACAAAATCTGAATATTGTAAGAGTTAAAGAATGATGTTGGATTTCTCTTCATATGAAATGCTTACCTATTACGATTCAGCGAAAACATCAAACAAAAAAAACTTTTGCATAAAAAATGACACAAACGACGAAATGATTGAAGAGAATAGAAACAAAACAGAAATCAAGATAAACTAAAGTGATGAAAGTAGAGGAGAAAAAAGAACTGAACAAATACAAAGGAATCTAGAAAAAGAAAGTCAAGAATGTGAAGCATTGTATAACCGACCACTGAGTCAAGGTTTTTATAACTTTCAGGAGTTTAAGAAATAATCAGTAAAAGCAGGATAATTATCAAGAAGAAAAGAAGAAGGATATCAGACAACGAATTGACCTGTGAAGATGAAGAGTGAATACATTCAACATACTGTAATCTATTCGAAATTTTATCATCTAAGGTCTCAAACCATTTATATGCTCGAAAAAAATAGGCTTCCTTCCATGGAAATTATTGTTAAGCACAATATTTTAAAATATTCGCCTGAAATGAGAGCATACAAACAATTTCATATGTGTTTCAACCACTCTCAGCGAATCTGGATATAATTTCTATATTCTATGATTATCTAAAAAGGTGTGAACTATAATGTCTCCTGATACAGAAGTCAAATGTGAACACACACACACACATACAGTAAACCGATAAGAATGAAGTGATATTTACACAACCATATATGTTGATATGATGAATAAAGTTTTTCAATCTTTGAATGTATTCATATATCATTGATTCAAAACAGCAATAAATCAGTATGAATGAAACAAATATCTCTATTTCATAGGGAAAGTGATGAAAATTACAAGTTTTAATCATTTTCAACTTACTTGCATATCTTTAAATAAAGAATCGCGTAGATTAGGATTTTCTTGACTTGCACAAAAATTACGATAAATTGACATTTTCTCATCATTTAATTTACTGAAAAACAAATAAACAAATATAAAACTAAGAAGGATAATAGTAATGACAGGCAGTGGCTAACAGTGGAATCCAGGATGCGCATTTCGTCCTATTTGGGACTCATCAGCTGCATGTACCTGCCGACTCCCAGTGAGTGATGTTATTCCCACCGGGACTCGGGCTCGAGAGCGATCGCTTCAAACGTCAGAGCGTTATCCACTACAGCACCGAGCCACGATAGCTACTTCTTGTGCGACGGGTATAGGTTTAGTGTTATTGTTTGTATTACACCATCGTTGATTGGATAAGCAATAACACTAAGAAGGATAATATCTGAATAAAATTATATAAAGTGTATTAATATCACTGTGGAATTGAATGAATGATCAAAACACACTCATGGATATCATTGATAGACTTTTATAATTCTTCTTAAAAAACCAATTGCTTCAGTGTGAACATATTCTCTTCATCAACCGACTTGGAGGGAAGAAGTGGTGGAGAATGCCTAACAATTGTCCAGATCCGACCAACACACTTCACCGATATGTGGTTTTCAACCACTGGTAAAACAACAATCCTTTTCAAGTTGGTATTCACCATGGACTGACATCACTTGGACAAAAACATTGCAAACCTGCAGGCATCGAACAGCTGTCCGCCTCAGCAGTGCGGACCCATGACCTCGTCCCGCCAGGGACCGAAACCAGGACCTTCAAGCCCCGTGGCCAGCACGTTACCATTGAGCCTCTGGGTCGAAATCCAATGGCTCACATTTCCAAGCTCCTGGGTCTGATCCCTGGTGGGGAGGGGGTCACGGGTGTGTACTGCTGAGTCTCATATTAGTAGGAAACAGCTCTCCAGTACTTCCAAGTTTCCTGTGTTCCTCTAACTGATGTAAGCCTATGATGAACACTAACTTGGAAAACCACTAAATCCCCACAAACACCCCCAAATTCAAAAAATTAATCATTCTTCACAGCTGTTTGAACATAACCACCTTGATTTCAGTCAGTCGCCACAAACTTCCAAATTGAACTACTCTCTAATTCTCATTAGTGGAATCCAATAAAATGAATTTCCTAAAGTTTTAATGAGAAACTGTGATCTGTGAGGTGAACCAAGTTGGATGTGAGGACAAATGCTCGTTTCAATTGCAGTGAATGATAGTCATGCTGAACTGTAAATCAGCAGAGATAGGAGAATGTAGGTCATTGGATTCCAGTCTAGTGGCTGAAAGACAGATAACGTTCTCACAAAGAAATCTGATAGTCCTGGGTGGGTATGCATTGTAGAGAAGTTGCATATACAGGAATAAAACAATTTTCCAATGCTCCCAGGTTTTGCGATAGTTCTGCAACTGATTTTAGCTCGTAATGAATAGTACGCTGAAAGTAACCAATCGTCATAAACCTCTCAACTGAATTCTTTGACTACTCACTAATCCTTAGTAATTTGTAAACAAATTTAAAATCTTTATATACAGGTGTATCCTGAAATTCGTGGAAGCAAAAGTCATACACAAATTGAAGCTACCCTTGTGTGTGCTAAACAACAATTTAACATTTTACTAACCTGATTTTCAGGAAAAATAGCAAATGGTAACCAAGACGTGGTTGTCGAGTTTGCATTTCTGTCAATAATAGCAAGAGTAATTCACGTTTAGGATCACCGGGATTCATTTGTAAAAGATGTCGAAAAGGAACAAATATAGGGAATGCTAAACAGTCCTCCAGATGTCTTGTAAAATAAATAAAAATAAAGTCACATTCAAGTTAAAACTGTTCAGTAAACAGAAATCTAATTGAATTGCAAAAGGTACTATTATAATAAGCTACAAAAGTCCATTTCAAGTGAAATCATAAGCTTTTTTTTAATTAGTCACAATGTGGAAATACTTCACAGTTAATCATAAACTAACCGAATATACGAATAAAAATGTGTAAAAAAAATGGACTTACTCTTCAGACCATTCAACTCCAACAGGCATAAGACGTTGAGCAAACAAACAAAACAACAGTTCACACACTACAGCTGCAGTTCGACCAGCAATTTCTAAATCATCAAAGCCTTCTTCAACAAGTACTGCCTGAATTAATGCCTCCATTGATTCACATAGATCATTAAGGACAGACGCAGAACGCAGAAATACTGTGATAGGTAATTATGAACAACAAGATACACATTAGGGCATAACAGTTACATAAACAAAAATTAATATTAGTCGAACACAGTCTAAGTGATAAGATCTCTAAGATAAAGTGTAATCAAAGGCCTAATAAGTATCCTACTAATAAGACTGTCATCAGTTCTTTTGAGCCAAAAATGACAGAAGATAAAAAGCAGACGGTTGTAGACCAGTCACTAGTTCGATAACAACTACAATTGAAATTTAAGGCAAAAACAGAACTAATTCATAATAGGCACTCTTTACTGTTATTCCTCTAAACAACTGACTATAGGGTTCTGTTTACTAAAAACATCCCTTCAGCATAAAAACACTTAAATATCCGTCATAAATAGACTTAATTCAGACGTAACACAGACGTAAGATTCAATTTTATGTAAACATCAACCAGTTAGACTGTACTGTTCAGAATATATGACGACTACGGAAGTCATCCTAAAGTTGACTTCACTAACTAGGATAATGCCGGACAAGTAAACCTACCAGTTTAAAACTGGAACTTGAAGAAGTAAGCATTTATTGTAACCCAAGTGAGATGACACAGAAAAAACCACTAAAAAAAACAACAGTTCGGAGGACATTCATATGTTGGGATTAGTAATCATCAGACTCACTATGGATGATCACGATGAATATATAATTTATAGTTTACAAAAGTAGCTACTTTAAGAAGTGTTGAACCGATTCGAGAAAAACCCAGTGACGACACTGAATGATATCTCTGTGGAGGTGTGACATTTTGCTTTAAGCACTTGACTTTCAACCAGTGGGTCAAGGGTTCGAATCGCGCCCAGCCTACCGAATTCTTGGCAGCTAGGTAGTCTTACTAGTCCTTATACAATAAATGTGGCTCGTTGTCTACTGCATGAACGTAAGCATGTTCACTGACTGCATCGCTAGAGTACCAACAGCCAGTACAGCATCAGCATATCCGATCCAGATGGCAGGTTCGTTTTCGAGTTACTGCACTATGCAAGGTAACGAAATCCTGTTTTCAGTCATTTCCGGCTAAATACCTGGTTCAATCTCTAGCTCTTAATGTGGTGCCGTTTAATGAACCTGAAAGAAAACGCCGTCTGACAAATGCTGAAATCCTTCCGAGAGATTTCCGTCGCTGGTACAATATAGTATTTCTCAAACCCGATTTACAATATTGCTGAAATCATACCTTTTCACCCAAAAAGCCTATTCACTATATATATCACTGCCAAGAGTAGAAGCAGAACTCTTGATTCCGAAACAACACAACATCCTGACACTCGTTTTCCAGTTTGCATAGGTACTGATAAAGGTCAGTAAGCTTAGTGGTAATTTTAGGGTTTGTGTTGACATTTAACTGAATTTAATGCATCAGTTGAGCGAAATCACTGTTGTGGCTCGCACTTGATGACACTATCATCACTATCGTCAATAGAAGAACGTATTTCGCGAAAACTGACCTAGTGGACACCTTCATAGGGAAGTTACAATTAAGTTCTTATGATTGTGTTCACTACCAATACACACCGCAGGCTATTTCAGTACACTCAATCACTTGCAGAACTACTAATTTTTCCAGTAAATAAAAAGTACCATCCTATTTTGTAGTTCAGTAGTCAATACATACCATCATCATGTTCGTTTTTCCTCTCCATAAACAATAAAAAATTGTAATGAGCATACATTACAATGTATAATAAGAATCTGAATGAACTGAAACAGTTGAAGTATACGTTGTGCAATCTTCTCAAACAGTAAGAGCAGCATATAAAAATCACAGAAACAACTCAAAAATTAAGTGAGCGTTCACGTAGAACCAAAAGTCTTTTAGTTTAGTTACTCAAACCGAAAGAAATCGACCTTTCCAGATACTAAATTAAGTAATATATGTTCAATTACTTTTTATCTTGCTGAAAAACCAACAATATTATCAGTATTTAGTATCTTACATCTATTGTCTTTTCTTTTATACCCATGTTTACTAATGAACTAAATTCCTATCGATTTTCTTCAGTGTGATATGTTGCATAGTAACACTGTATAGTAAGCCAAATGTCCACAAATGTAAGAACATATTGCAGTAATAAAGTTCGTGCTACCAGAAGTTATATAGATGTTGAAATGGTTAATGATGACAAATTTGCCTGAAACACTGACACCAAATGTGGCCAGTATGATATAAATGATATAAACAACACGAGGTTATATCCATCTTGGTGATTAGCAGTGGACTTCAGGGTGCATGATTCGTTTTCTTTAGGACTCGTCAGCTGGATGCACCTGCATCCCAGTAAGTGATGTTGTTTCTACTGAGGCTTAAACCCAGCACCCATCGTTTCAAACGGTAAAGCGTTATCCCCTAGATCACTGGGGCAAGAGAGCCACCACTTTTAAAATGGGTATCATATGTTCTTGTTATGATGCTTGTAATTTCCTGTTGCTATATACATGATCGAATTGCTCGACCTCTGTTGGCAGATGGACTCCTATGCAGCATCGAGGTATAAGCATACAAACACATCTGCTGACAGAGGTCAGGCAATTCGACCCTATATAGCAACGGGAAATTACAAGTATTAAATAAAAACAGTGTGAATCGTTAATTTTCTTTGTAAAACTTCCTTACCTGGAGTTATCAAGATAGAAAAGAATTCAAATGATGAACAATTGTGGCTAATTCATCAATAATGCTATTCATAACCTTAACAAATCATTTTGATGGGCATTTCTAATCTACCAATGAAACTGAAAAAGGATCAATTTATTTTCACTCGTTTCTCGTCCCTAACCATAGAAAACTCCAATGATTCGACAAAAAGCATTAGGTTTGCAGTTTAGAAAAAGCACAACGTACTTTACACATACGAACATTTTAAAAAAATGAGCACTGGAGAATGAATAATGTGCAATAAGTAGATTCATAACAAACTTCGATGCAATACAACAGACATGTAGCGGTCAGTCGGTGCTGGTACACCTTGATGTATAAAGCAATCTACCACGCCTAGTGTATGAGCCTGCGTGGGCACCTACCTCATGCACATTCGTGCAGCAAGCAATGGTCTACACTTATTGTGTGAAGGCTAGTGATACTACCTAGCTGCAAAAACCTCGGTAGGTGGAGAAGGGCTCGAACCAATGACCGTTGGTAGTCATCTCCATAAACCACTGAGCCACAGCTCCATATGAGCCCACATGATACTACCTGGTTGGTATAACCCAGAAACGCTTCGACTGCGCAATCTACTGGGTGAAAGTGTGTTAAACACTATATTTCTTACCAGAAGAATTTTGTTCTTGATCGCATGAACCATTATCCAAGTCATCCAAAGTTTGTGAAGCGCATAGACCGGTTGAAGAACTACGTATTAAACCAACATGTTTAGCCACATCACGAAACTGTTCTAATGCTGTACGTATTGGTCCATCAAGCTGTTTAATTAGAGAATTAACGTCTACAGACTCGACGAAATAGTGAAATCTAAGCTGATAATCTTGAAAACGACGTCGAAGACTATCTGTAAAAAGAGTAAAAGCATGATTGATTTTAAAAAAGATTAGTCATAGCTGACACTGAATGAACTTGTTTAGAAAATAGAAGCAATGTGATAGAGTTGATCTCTACAGGGATGACTTTTATGAAATTTTATTTTTTAAAATAAGTCAATCTTGGAATGAAGAACCGTCGTATTGTGCTGAAATGAACAAACAAACAGACACACAACTGAGTGTATGAGAAATCGCATCAATCCGTACAAATAAAGACTTCGTGGACTGGTGCCACATATTGGTTTGATCACCTTTAACCTTTTTTCAACCCAATCCTACTTCAGTAAACACTGGACATAGAGAAGGACAGTGGTTCGGCGTGCAGGAATGTCAAAACCATCTTATTCAGTGAAGGTTCACTACCTCATAGCTTGACTTACATTCTTAGTTTAATAGCTCTATTCTTAACCTCGGCATTGCTCAGATGATTCCTCCATACCTTTGGTGAGAAGTCTGTAGCCACTTAGTATCTTCAACTTCTAGTAGCCATATCTCACAGAACTCTAGTAGGACAAAGTGGACTGTTTTACGGTATTATTATTTGTCCCTGGGTTCCTAGTGGAACATAGGGCTTCAGTCTTTTGAACCTGGTTCTACATCTGCCCAGAAGCTACCATTTGTTCCTAACGCGATTTCCTCCATGTCACCCTTGGACGCCGAACTCGTCACCCCCACCCCTTTGGGTCCCACTTGTTTTACAGTATACTTATCCTTTAATAGGTAATACGATAACTTACTGACTCCAGAGATGCAGTAATTTGGTAAATGCCAAGCTGAGGTTTTATCAGCAACCAACCTATTTGGGCTGATGCAACTCCTTAATCCAAATGGTCAACGCACTCCCATTACTTCACTCTTTATCCTTAAACCAGGAGTCTGCGCAGACCACTTTTAAAAGATCCCGCATGAAAACCGTACTCACATTTCTGCTCAATAATCGATGCAATGACATTAACAAACGACCAAACTGAATGCCTCTGTAAAACGTAAAAGATGAATAATCGTTGTCATAGGACAAAAAGGAATGAACAATCTCTACAAAATAGTTTACTACTGTCTCGACCTTTTAATTTGCTTCCTATAACAACAGGAGTTTGTTTTGAACTCGATTAGCGAAAGTGACATATAGGGGATAAAAGATATGAATTGCAAATAAGTTCGTGTACTAGACCACAAGTGAGGACTAACGGCTGCTCAAAACTCCATAACAACCAGATTTAGAATCCATCATCAACTGGTTGAAAGAAGAGTTTTCTCACGAAAAAATTTACATCATCTCATGCTATCGAAAATTCGAATGCATGCGACTTCTTATAGGATAGATTGAGTATCATTGTGAATATGCTTCATCATCACAGACATATCAAAGTGGAACCTGGTACACAGTTGCAGCAGTTTAAGTTAATATAAGTGTAAAACTCGTGTACTGTGAATGTAATTCCACATTAGATCTGTTTATTTGATTTATAACACACAAAGTGGTACAGTATTATTTCCTTGATGTTTCGAACATAAATTATCAATACTCATAATCATATCAATGTAATCACACTACTTTCAACATCTAACTTTCACAGTCCCATCACTTCATGTTCTTTGTTCCTGTTTAGTGTAGTAAAGTTTTCCATATCTCTGGTATAGATGCTACATCATTCCTATAACACGTGTTGGGTGTTGATTTGATGAATAAAGATTCAGTAATCAGTGACCTCTGTCTCCACCTAATTATATTGGACTTACTTAAGTACAGTGGTTCTATCCCATCCACCCTATTGTGTGGTTGTGTGTTAATGGGTGCATTGGAATAGCCGAGTTTATTCTTGATTACTGACAGGTCTTGTTGGGGTCTGTCATTCCATATTTAGCTAAGTTCCTATGTTCCGGTATTCCAACTGACCCTGACCAGCTAGTTTGACATATGTACTTGACCTCGCAGTCATGACATGGAATTCGATGGTTTAGATTATTTCGCTTAATTGGTTCCGTCGGATCCTTAAGCAAGCCAACAAAGCTTATCTCTGAGTGAGTTTGCAGGTTTAAATGTCACCCTAATTCCAGCTTTGTTGAGAAAATCCTACGTAAAGTTCCTGATGTTCACTCCTTATAGGGCAACACAATGGAGGGTGTGAACTACTTTCTACTTGTGTTCTTGTTATTATCCATACTCATGTTACTGTTAACATTTCGTTACTTATGTGTTCGTACGAATTTCCTAATAAACTGCAGAGGATAATTATTAACTATTAGAGTTTCTTTTACGTGCTTCAATTCCTTGTTTAGGTGCTTCGATTGACTAGTCAGTTTTCCAGCTCTATCACTTAGATATTTAACTAAACCCGCCTTAACTGGCATTGGATGAGATGACTTGAAGTTTCATTACCTGTTAGGATTTTGTAGACGGTAGTATCCAAACCACCGTCTGTCCTTCGTTTTATCCTGCAGTCAGACATAGGTAATTCTCTTTGTTCATTTCCTACCTCGTAAGTAAATTGGAATGCACCCACTACTAAGTTTATATGTTCGAGTAATTTGTCGATACGTTCGGATTTTGAACGCAGTGAATGTGTCATCCACACATATGGCCACCAAGTCTTAGGTGGAGGATTAAACATTTGTAACGCCATGTTTTCCTAGCTATTCGTAAATGACTGCGAGGTCAAGTGCATATGTCAAACTAGCTGGTCAGGGTCAGTTGGAATACCGGAACATAGGAACTTAGCTAAATATGGAATGACAGACCCCAACAAGACCTGTCAGTAATCAAGAATAAACTCGGCTATTCCAATGCACCCATTAACACACAACCACACAATAGGGTGGATGGGATAGAACCACTGTACTTAAGTAAGTCCAATATAATTAGGTGGAGACAGAGGTCACTGATTACTGAATCTTTATTCATCAAATCAACACCCAACACGTGTTATAGGAATGATGTAGCATCTATACCAGAGATATGGAAAACTTTACTACACTAAACAGGAACAAAGAACATGAAGTGATGGGACTGTGAAAGTTAGATGTTGAAAGTAGTGTGATTACATTGATATGATTATGAGTATTGATAATTTATGTTCGAAACATCAAGGAAATAATACTGTACCACTTTGTGTGTTATAAATCAAATAAACAGATCTAATGTGGAATTGGTTTGTCACACTTTATAGTAGCATAAACTATGTTGTATTCCGCTGAAGATTCGAACGAAACAATAGGGCGAAAACCAATCTCAACGAGAAAAACTGATCAACCATTCACTTGACCCTACATATCTGATATAACATCATTGTTTGAAACCAAGCTATAGCTTGGTTTCAAACTAATGGATGAATACACTCACCAATTTTAAACTCCAGAGAATCTGGGGTATCTGGTTCATGATCAGTAGATTGTTTGATTACATGTCGACTTTCAACTGGAGGAGGACTCCAGGTAGCAGTTCTTGAGGCTGCTGGTTTACATTCTAAAATATTTACTTCCATTATATCCAAATCATCTGTTATTTGTACTTCCGTTAATTGTTGAGAACTGCGTGGTAAGGATGGTAATAAGGGTAACGTGTTACGAAGAGGAATAACTGGTGCTTTGATATCATCTTGTTGTGTGGTAAATGGTATTGGGCTTTGTTGCAGTGTGACTGGTGTGTTTGTCTGAAGCACTGGAAGTGTTTCAGAGACTGTCGAAACAGGTTTCGATACAGTTTCAGTTGGTGTCGAATTCAAATTTGATAGAACAGCTCCAGCAAGAATAGCAGCATGACCTCGTGTCAAGCGGGGATCTGTCGGTGGTCCACTATCTGTCAGCAATGCAGCTAACAGGATACAAGACAGAAAACCAACGACAAACAAAAAAAATGATGCATAAATGTCTCACTTTAATGGCAATGATGGTCATAAAAATAATTTTTGGAAAATTGTTGATATGCAGTGATTATAGATACGAACTACAGACAAAATGTATTCCTCGCCAAACTGTAACATTTGCATATTCTAGGGTAGTATTTTTTACGGACTGACATCGTTTGGGAGCACTGGGCAGCTGTTTCGTTCTAGTATGGAACTCACCAGTAGTGCGCACTCACGACTCCACCAGGGATCAAACTCAGGACCCTCAAGTCTTGCACGTTTATCATTCAGCCACTGAGTCGAAGTTCAATGGCCCACAGTGTTCTACCTCTGCCAGTCAATTTGCGATATAGCGCGACTATCCTCCAAGGTCTTCAATCGGCAACCGTTTCACTTCTGGTTGATTGACCCCACAGGTTACAATTCTTCATGAGAACTTCGGGATATCCATCTCGAAGCATGTCACTGATGAGTATAACACAGAAATTTAGTTTCAAGTTTTATGGGGATTTGATTTCAAGGTAGTATTCATCACGCAATGACATCAGTTGGGGAGCTAATTAAAGCCTTGGAACAGCCTTTAAATGGGAGATGAAAACAATGTTGCTAACCAATCATTTGGCAAATGAATATTCTCTTCAATTTACTAAATCCCAGAATAATTCGCTCAAACTTCAGGGTGATTAGTTCTCCGAGCTAAAGGTTTAGCTGGCAAACATTTCCATGACATGCTGGATATCGTCATCAGTGCACCAAAGCTTCACAATTCACTCAATCCTGAGAAAAGTCTACGCTTTTATTTTATGTAAACAAATTACAGCAGTTTGAGCACCCTTTCTATCTCTTTCACCAGCAACTACAGTGACCAACGGAATTATACTGACAACACTGGTTGAAGAGACTATTCAAGTGTCAACGGTGATGAGTAAAGTAGAAAAATGAGGAGACTGATAAACATCAGTAAAGTGATCAGTAACTCGTCGTTTGTTACACTGACATTAATTGAAAAGACATTAGAAAACTAGGAGTACTGGGAAGCTGTTTCGTCCTAGAATGGGACTCCTAAAGAGTGACCACCCATGATCCCGTACTCCCAGGAATCGAACCCAGGACCCACAGGCTCTACCGTCAGTAGGTTACCATTGAGCCACTGGATTGAAACCCAGTGGTCGATATTTTCCAACTTTTGTCCAATGCCGTCGTTGAGTAACTGTCCTCACGTTCGACGTATTTGGGTCTAGGTCACGACTTCTCATTAGAAATTCGTGAATCACCTCTCGAACGATGGGTACGAGTCTCAGTGGGAACGTCACTCACTAGAGTGCAGGTACATTCAGCTGACGAGTCCCAAATAGGATGAAACGCGCATCTTGGATTCCACTTTTAGCCACAATCATTACAATGGATATCGAGGCAATATGAAGCCATCCACATAGGAGAGAGAGGTTGGTCAATTCTATCCAGTATAACAACGGAAAATCACGAGTATATCAACAAATAACAATTCACTATCGTACTTCACTCAATCTAGTTTTGATAATTATCTTAAAAACTATGTGAAAAAAGCATTGGGAAATATAATGCATAGCGTATTGTAAGTCAGTCACTATTTTGACTTTCAACGTTAAACTCGGTAAAATTAATGAGCAACAAAAATAAAACGGTTACAATTACGAGTCACTGTTACAGAAGAAACAGAATAAATCTACTGGATATCTCTACATCACATTATGATGAGAGAAAAAAGAGGAATACTAAATTTTACCTGGTGATAAAGGTCTTGACACCGATAAAGGTGTGGTAGTTTGATTTCGAGGCACAAGTGTACTATTATTGACAGAGCTTGAATTTGTACTAACCACTGATGTTTCACTGGATCCAGTCCATTTCTCAGGAACTAAACGACTAGGATTTTCTCCAGGTGAGACAAGTGTACTCGGCAAGGCACTAAGAGGATCAAGACCCAACAATCCACGAAGCGAACGCAGCAGGTCCATAGATGAAGAACGGTGTAAAAACTCAAAAAGTGGGGAAATGGTTCTGTAAATAAACAAAACAGATCGAGTTTGAATACTAGTCAATGGATAACACAAGCAGAATATGCAATCAATGATATGATAGCTGATAATTCCCCATATTTGATTGGAGTGAATGTCTTAATACAGCCATTATTTTTACTGTGATATTATTAATGAATAGTGTCCGGTAGAAGGGAATCCAGTATCCGCGTTTCTTCCTATCTGAGACTCATCAGCTCTCTGTACCTGCCTTCCAGTAAGTCAATGTAGGTAAAATGCTTCTATTTCAAAAGCTTTAGCTGCAATTCCAAAAAATCAACACTAACTGCACCATCTTATGAGCAAGTGAGTGAATAGTTGAAGAATCAAATCACATTAGAAGTAAGAACATCACAACTACTACTCATATACACATTAAAGTGAATCGTCATCAACACAGTCTAACTTTTATTCTTATCATTTGACTGTCTGAGATAGCCGCAGTTTGGCAGGCTAGTATTTATACTGTGTGATGATTGAAGATGTCAGCAAAATCTGGGCCGCGGTTGGATTCAGACCAGCGACTACCGGCCGCGGTCCAGATTTTCATCACACCTTTAATCATCACACAGTATTTTATCTTCAAGTAAGTTTACCATCTTTATGTTATTAAGTTAAGTAAATTCAATGACTGGAACCAAAGTTGATCAGAAGTGTGATTCTCTTTTTCAGACGACGAATGCAATGTAAATTATGCATATCATAAAGTTGACACAACTAATACAGCTTATAGATTGCCAAAAAACTTCCCAAATTTTACACCTAATCCTATACGAAGAAATAAAGTGATACTTGACAACTGAATTGAATGAAACAGACAGGAAGTATAGCTCAATAGCTAGGGTTAGACTCAAGCACTAAATTGATTTGCTATTGTATTGAAACCCAGTTAAATAAGGTGTAATGTGGTGAAGTGCATTTAACACTTCACTTACCTGGGAAGTCGGATCAGCCACGGTAGGTCAGTGACCGACGAAATGCCTACAAGGATACGAAAGATTTGACTGGCTTTTGCCAGCTTATGCCATTTATGATATCGCCGCAATATCACTCTGTTCTACTATACAATTGTGAAACATGACCATCTAAAGTAGAGGAAATGAGAAACCTTGAGGTGTTCAACCACATTTGCCTTCGGGGTGTAGACGGTATGTCGTGGTCTCATAATATCAGTAATGCAGAAGTCTGGTGTAGAGTTTTAGGGAGAGGAGGAAAGCCAGCTGACGTGCTGGTGAACCTTTAACGACTCGGACAGTTGGGATGTGTTACGCATGCGTAGTCACCACCTACCTTGTAGCATAATGTTAGTTGGGGCGGCCACACTAAAACATAACATCATTGCATAATCTGATCTGTGTAGAAAAATACTGACTTCTCGGTTGGGATTCGCGTGAAAACAGAAACTACTTGTTGGGGACTGTAGGTGACACACCTCGAGATCGATCTTCACACATTATCTTCATCTGAATCGTCAAACTGAACTCTGTATTCTCTTATTCCTACTTCCTTTAATTTACAGCTTTTCATCGATTTTTCTCCATTTCTTTATTTCATCTTGGTACTTTCTCGCTGATATGAGCTGATATGAGGTGTGACAACTTGGACTGTTATGCAGTTATGTCTGGTCCTATGTAGATTTTGATGATGACGAGTAAAATGTTGAATATTCAACAACAAAGGTAGATAGGGTATATTTAGACAGTAGTGATTGCATAGCTATTTCATAGGATAAACCTGTATTCAGTTTTAAAAAACTGTATACATATTTCTTGTATGCTACACCCCAGTCTACATCTAACTTTTGCAGGCTTGTTACGCTAATTTTTGGCTGTAACCTTCATAGATGAAGCATATTTCGAATCTCTGCGAAAGACACTAGTTACACATAGTTCATACTGTAGTTGTAACATTGCCAGTTTCGTAGACGTATACTAGATGATTCTTTGAGACAAACTTTTATATCAGCTTATATATATATATATATATATATATATATATATATGATGGGATATACATAGACCCTTACTTGACAACACCTAAACGGACCATTTCTTCTAAACCGGAACGAACTCCCAAAATGATTCTTTCAGTCATTGGTGGATGATACATTCCAACAATCTAAAGCGCAATATATTAAAGAGATAACATCAAAAGAACGAATTACATATAGGATGATATGCATGAATCTGATAAATATTCACAGATCAGTAGTTGATTAAATTCATACTATTAGTAAAATGATAAACTAAATGATCGATCAATCACTGTTTATGGTTATCCAAAACTGAACGATGGTTAATATCCGATTTTCAATAATTAACCCCTGATACTTTCCACAATAAAGTTTCAGTCGACACAATCTATTCGAAATTGCAAATTAGGAGTTACTTCATACTATGTTGAGAAAATCTTATAGAAGCAACTAAGCTGTTACGCACGACCAATAATCTTTACTACTAAAAATCTGTTTATTTTTCATTGCCTTCCAGCTTTTAAAAGAGTTTGTTTATTTTTTTAAGCACAACCTAGCATGCTAACAACAAAACAATCAATTCCTCTACAGACCACTTCATTAATACTCAACTCTATGCCACTGAGAAAAAATTGTGATAAGTAAGAAATACAATCTAAAATTTATGAAACTATGCGTACAAGTTAAAAGGTAATCATATAAATACGATGTACAATACAGTTGAAAACTTATCCAGCGCCCGCATGTTTTTTTGAGTGGTGCACATTGCGTTTGTAAGGTATTATTTACCGGATGTTTTCTTTCATCGAAGGAATGAGCTTCGCAGTCAACTATCTACATACAGTAAACCTTCTACTAAGATGATATTCAACCTGCGTAAAGGTCAATTCATTTCCTGTATTCTGTGAATCCTCGAAGATGACGTGAATACTTCATCCTCCCTCCAAAATTCTGCTATTTGAACACGTCTAGTGATGCCCATACTTGCGCTACATGAATCTTCTGCTTTTGATTACCTATTGGTTCTACTATCATATGTAACTCAACACAAACAATTCAATCAACCCAGTTGTACGGTTGTCTTTAACGATATTGTCTAATCATCTAGTAGATATTTCAGAAATGGATTTCGAAGGACAGCGGGTAGCATAATTTCCAAGTTAACCTTTACTCCAGTCTATATTTCTAACAGGTTGCAATCTGGCTCTATTGTTACTTCCGAAAACGATTAGTTTATCTTAAGATCTTTTAAGAGTTATGGGGCTTGGCACCAGAACTCAACAGCCTTAACGCTAAGATACATTCTCCAAGATATAAATTTATCCTACGCGGCTGCTTCCTTTCTAAGCATTCTATTACCTCTTATCTTCTTTCCTATTTGTACTTTCATTATGCTGTCTTATCATTAAGTCTAGAGCATGCTTTAGTAAGCAGGTTGTATCAAGTTTATGTTGAAAACTGCTTTAAAAATATTAATAGATACAAATAAATGCAAGCGAAACACAACACAGGAAAAACCACATAATCTGTACCCGTTACTCGAGTATTATCATAACAAGAATACAGACCATGTAAACCTACTGAATTTTCATTCCTCACCTTAATTAAAAAGTCTACCAATGAAAATGCGATCAACTGAGACCTTGGGTTTAGATGATTCATGATAGCCAATAAAGCAGGTTCTAAAGAAAACGAAATTGACAAAAAAAACAATGAATTATGCTGAAATAGAGTGTGGACTCTAATTTTTTTGAAAGTCGATAGAATAATATAAGAGTAAAATTTAAGCACTGCGATATAATGTAACTCCATTTTACTTCATTTACCACATAGATAGATATGCTGGAGTAAAAGCTAAATTTCAACCGATCGTAATAACCTGACCAAATTCATAAAAATGTTGCTTAGGGTGCTTGAAACTTCTTTGAAGGCTTGCATAGATCCAAATCAATTTGCCCATAAACCTAGGAGTACTTTAAATGCTGAAGTTGTTTTGCATCATAACATCATTGCGTTAAGTATGTTACGTCTGCCTTCTTGGATCATAACTTCTGCTTTTGACTCTGCCCCTAGACCCCTTATGTTAAATAAGCTTGTCGGAACTCGCATTGAGTCCTCAATTTCAAACTGCCTTGACTTTTATCTTTCTGGAAGAAGACACCACACTCTATACAGAAAGAAACACTCTACTTTGTTACTTAGTAAACCCAGTGTGCCTCAAGGTCTTGTTCTTTCTCCTTTTCTTTTTGCATGACTTACCAACCTCAACTTAAGCTTTGTTAAGTACGCAAATAACCCAACAGCATCCAAGCCAATCATCTCCTCTTGAGATTGTTCTCAGTTTAACAACTTCTTCATGGAAATTGGTCATTGGTTTTTGTTAAATGGCCTCACAGTTAATTACTCCAAATATCAGATGGTTAGTTTTGGCTTAAAACGTAAACAAGATCCTTGTAAATTGCTTCAGTCCCATGACTACTGTCTTATACATGGCTCTGTTGTGGAGGATGTAACAAGTGTGTGTGGCTGATGCTTTTCTTCTGATCTTTTCTGGTCCTCTAATATCAAACTGATTTCCATAAAATCCCTTCCCTTGACCTTTGTTACGTAAGGAAACTCAGACTGTTTGGTATAACTCAGTCTCTACTCTTATGTTTTATTAATTCCTGTTTTGTGCCTATAATTACTTATTGTTTCCCCCTGTACTCTGGAAAAAAGACTACGCAATGTTGCGAAGTTTTTTGAAGGCTATTGGTAGAGTGAGTGATACATCACTAACCATGGTGATAAATGAGGTTGTGGATAGATAGCTGAACTCTTGTAGACTTCTGGTTAAAAAACATGTCATTTAAAGACAAGCATCGACTGCATCTGCATCTCTATGCTGTCCTCAGGGAAGACAAGAAGTAAATATATTAAACTCTATGCACGTACAACGATATATAAAAATTCAATAAAACCTCATTTAGCTTGTGTATTGTGTAAAGAAAATCATGTTGGAGACAGTCTTATCAATCAACTATACAACAGCGAAAAGTTATCATGTCCCGAAAGTCATTAAACATTTCGGCAATCATATTCTTTGTTATATATTCTTAAACACCAACACTGAAAAATATTGTAAGACGAGTAAACTGATGCAATATCACATGCTGAGATTTTTGTACCGTAAACATACTTATGGTTCGGAATGAAGCAAATATACTATTATTACTATAGAAAATATGAAACCGCCTCATCCTGGAAAGACTAAAAGATGCTCTACGTTCAAAATTACGACCGGAAAAGGCGGATCAAATTGCAACGCTAAGCATCATCATAGAACAGAGTATAGAATGGCAGTCAACTGGGTCTCTACCTCAACTTCATCGACTTTTAAAAGGCCTTCGATCGAGACGTCGACCGAGAAATAATTTGGCAAGTAGCTGCTTCAACACTATGGGTTTAGTGCTTCAAACCTTTATTAACCTCATTCAACAGCTATATGATGATGATGATGATGACGATGCTACATGCCAAGTGGTTGACAATGGAAAGCTCAGTGACGCCTTCGAAGTGAAATGAAGACAGAAGTAAGACAAGGTTGCCACCTACTATCACCTATGATTTTCCTCATTATTGTCGACTCGACTGGACTGGACTGCACCATGCAACAAACTGTGAGAAGGGAGGAGAGGGGCATACGCTGGCTGGACTGATGAAAAGATCCTAGAAGATTTGGATTTCGCCAGTGATGATGATTTATGTCTAATCTCTTGTGGCACAAACTCGAAGATCTATAGGTGAAAACTAACAAGTTGGCAGAAGAGACGAGGCGAGGCGAGGCAGCGAAGGAAAGCGGGACTTCCTTCAGGTGAATGTAGGGAAGACAGAGGTGATGAAGATACCCAACCAATAATAACAAAAAGCACCAATTACCATAAACAGGAGAAATCTAAAGCAAGTTGTCTCTTTCACCTACCTACCTAGACAGCATCGTTTCAACTGCAGGCGGCACAGGCACAGATGAGGATTCTAAAGCCAGCATCGGAAAGACAGCAAGACAGGCCTTCACTAACTTGAAATCAGCGTGGAGATCTACTCCACCACACTGTACTGGACTCAGCATAAAGCGTGAACAATATTCGGATTTTCAACACTAATATCGGTCAAGTCATTGCTTCTATATGGTTCAGAAACTTGGCGCGTTATGAAAAGCATTTCCAACAAACTACAGATATACATCAACAGCTGCCGCCTACGCTCGCTCACTCGATGCTGAAGATCAGATATGATGGCCAGAATAATAATAATAATAAGCAAGAAGGAACCCCGGCCTAGCAACGAAATAACCAACAACCTATCGCTCAACAAATATGCAGAAGAAAGTGGAGATGGATTAGATCGGCCATACACTGAGAAGACCGATTGGGAACACCACGAGTCAGACCAACCCTCGATTGGAACTCAAATGGGGAACGAGGAGTTGGGCGTCCGAGCTGAAGGTGACATGGAGGAGAACGCGTGAGGAAGAAATGAAGGCTTATGGGCAGTCGTGGAGCCAGATTAAAAGGACTGCAGAGAAGAGAGTGAAATAACGAAGTTCTACGGAAGCCCTATGTTCAACGAGGAACCCAAAGGATAGAAAATAAAATAAATTGTTACTATTGATATATATTAATACATAATTGTGGACAATAAAATTGTGTGCGAAACGTAATTCAGTGAATAATACTGGATCATTGGATTCTGACCCAATGGCTCAATGGTAACGTGCTGGTCATGAAACCTGAAGGTATTGGTTTCGATCCCTTCGGATGCGGAGTCACGGGTGCACACTGCTGGGGAGTCCCATACTAGGACGCAACAGTTTTTCAGTGCCCCCAGGTTTTTAATGTTTCTTTAACCGATGTCAGTCCATGGTAAATACCAACTTGAAGAATAAAGTCTTTTTAGTTAAAAGTTTTTTGAATCCTAGGAGTCATTTGTAATACATCCACATTTACACGAATAACTGGAATATTAGGAAGTTTGTCAAACTTCGGGAGAGACAAATCTTTGTATCACATCAAATCTCTTATTATCAAAAAAGGGGAGAGATTAGCTATGGCTCACTTGCTTAGGCAGTTAACTTTTAACCAATGGGTCACGGGTTCAAGCCCCACTAATCAAGCTACCTAGGTCTGGATAGCCATTGAATAGCATTAGCCCTCATACAATAGGTGCGGCTTACTGTTTACTCTGCACGAGCGTGTACTTGGTTGCTGAGTGCACTTCAATTCAAACCAGCTTAAATAATCAACTACATATCATGGTAAAAACGTTACTACACTCCTAACTTCATGATAAAATACAGAGAAAACACAATTGACCATTGCAAGTTTTTTTTTTAAAACATTATAGTGCTGAATTTAGTTACGCTGAGTGTTACAAAGATACTTGATAATATTATTTACCCTGGTTAGTAAGTGAAATTAACAAATAAACGTACCCAGATTCATAATGCAATCATTTGGTTTAAAGAATAGCCAATCATAAAAAAGAGCCAGTTTTGCATTAACAGTAGCCACTGGACACTGAAGCATAAAAAAAAGAATATTAAAGTGACAATATATCGGTGAGATCAAGAGCAGCATTAGATAAGATTGAATAAGAAGGAATGCAATTCATACATATTCGTATAATGAAAAAAAGTACTGAATAGTCCCAATACTGATTATATCACAACTTAATGATAAACAAAAGTATACCTTGTGAAAAAACTTACACGTTACACAGTAGTTTATTTAGGTTGGGGAAAGGAGACAGACAGACAGAACACATACGGTAACTAGTACTAGAGAAAAAAGGAAGACAGACTAGTACAACAAGTAATCACGGACAGGCGACGACAAGTATAGGGGGGGATTAACTGAATGCTTCTCCTGTACATGCACCACTTTTTCCCTACAAATGATGATAACTGTCAAAAGGCCAGAACTCTGATCAGTACAATCGTGGGGTAAGCAGTTATCTAAGCAACCACTGATAGAACAAAATATGAATAAAGACTGAGTAGTAGTAGTAGTAGTAGTAGTAGTAGTAGTAGTAGTAGTAGTAGTAGTAGTAGTAGTAGTAGTAGTAGTACTGCAGGCATGAGCAATTACTGAAATTCCATTACACACTAGATAGATTTACTAGTGTTAAAGTGATGTTGTTGATGCTCATATCAGCGAAACAAGCTAAGTTGTACAAGCCGAAGATGAAGTTACAGCCTGAAGTTGGAATAAGAGGATACTAATCAATTTAGATAAATGCGACCTAACTGCTATTAGGCATCTTGATGTTAGAGAAACCTTTTTCACGAAACTGAAAAAGTTAATAAACCTTGATAACCGGAAATTTCACTGATAGACGAAAAACATAACTATCGACTGTCGGAATAAGAAAACAAACCTATGTTAACGGACTGTTATGTAAACTGGTTCCTCTGTCTTTTTCTTGTCGTATGAATCCGAAGTCAATCGTGTATGATCCATATTGAAACACTATATAAAACACCAAACACAGTTCTCGCATTATGCGTACAAAAGTCTCATTACTACCATGATGGGAATGAAGAATGACGCGTTTAAATTGTCTGAAGACTGTGTGCAGAAATCTGGTCTTCTCAAGGCACTACTTCATACTTAGAACATAGCTGAGTACCAAGCCAAGAGCGATTGATATATCTACTTAAACAATAAAATAGTATAGCGAAAAAAGAAATGCTATACATTACTAGTTAAAAATTGGATTTAAATTTAATGGAGTCATGACTGAAGTTTAAAGGAAATCTGTGCGGACGTAGGGTTCGGACTTGTAGCGACCAAATTACCGATCAGCTGCTACACTGAATGATTTCAAAATGAAGCTTGATTTTATTTCACTCTTGAAACATGATACTGTTAAATAAAATTATATGAGGAATACGAAACCAAGAAGGGAAAAAGTAACGCAATTCCATGACCCTGCGTAGGTTAATGTGCTAGACTATAAATTGAAAATAATTTGAAGGTTGATAACACTACACAGTTTCCCAAACTCCATTAGGGTTATGGTGGATTTCCAACTAGCAACCTACTGGTTCAAACTCGACAGCCTAGATCAATGCAGTCATGATCCCATATAATGTTTCCCCGAGTGTGAACTTTACAACCTTAAATCGTCAAAAAAAATATTCTAGTTGCCTATTATTTACTTGACGACTAGCCAAGATTTGAGAAGAAAGTCTATTCTGTTTCAAACGAGGTACCAATACTAAAAGTATTTATATAAATGTATAAAAGTATTGTGTATAGTGAGTGAAAGCATTATCGAATAGATCCTTTTAATATAAATGCAACTCTAGAAAGACGTAACTGTTTATATCACTAAGCGTCACGTATTGTAACACTAAGAGAACTAATATGGAGAAGAATAGTGTTTAAAAGCAAACACAAAAGTTTACTTCAAACGTAAGAAGTTATTAAAGAGTAAGAACTTCGTGACAGAGTGTGAAATACATCGACAAAAACATAAGAATAACATAACTCTAGGCTATTGCAGTGAGAAGAGTGACTTTGAGAGGCATATTCATGATACACATTTTAGTCAGATAGACTTGGTAAATAGAAACTAATGATGACGGCGTTTAAGTCCCTTTAGTTAGGATGCATGGTTATGGCAAAGTAATCAATCGGAACTAAAAGCTTTATTATCTACTCCACACCCAACTTTTAAGACACCTTATGTGCCAATAGGAACAGTTATGTACTCAGTAGGGGATTCAAATGTGAATACGGAAGTCAATACGATAAATAAATAAAATTTATCAGTGTACTGCCTTCTGATCCTCTCGGTCGAAATTAGTACTGCATTGATACTAATTTTAACGGCACATCGCTTTCCATTTTAAGTGAAATTGTGTCAAACTTCATAGAAGGCACTTTCTACCTCCTACCAGTCACCAGTGATGTTGACACCATATGATTTGATGCATGAACGAACATTACTATGTAATCAGTGTGGGGAAAAAAATTGCATATATGGCACAGTATGATTCTAGACAAAATACAAAATATACGAGTGATTATCAGTTTGACCATCTTAAATAGGCATGGTTTGACAGACTATTATTGATACTGGGTGAGTGATTGAAGGTGCTGGTGCTGCAACAATTGAGCTACAAGGCGCAGCTGTAGACTACACCTTAATTTCACTTTAATCACTAAGGGTTTTGCCCAACTGCCATGTGAATCCGGGAGGCCTAACTACCAGTTCATCGTATTCACACTAGTTTTCAAGCCAGGACTTCTCACCTAAATACAAATCGAACTGAATTACAGAGGGTAGATATCATATTGACTATCTGAGATAGTTGTGATTTGGTAGAATTGCATTATCAACGAATGATGTCTACATTTCTGACATATTTTAAGCAACAGATAGTGATAATGTTCCCGGAACCAAATGAATGACAGAAACAAAATTGATACTTCCTAAATTAACTTAGCACAACAAAATAGTGCATTTATATTTCGTCAAAAGGAGCACAGATAACCTAGAAACACTCAGCGCTGTTTACAATCCGGCTAGTGATGACAGTTTACTATGTAGAATAGAAAAGTATAGAAAACCTTTCATCCAATATCTTATTCAATATCAACTTACCAAAATGTTTCAGCGTTCAGCACTTGGGTAATGTAGAGAGATGTACAAGTGAGTTAACCCGAACTCACTGCATACAGCTGAATAGCTTGAAACAAATCAAAGGAGTAGCCTTAGCACTGCCAATTCATAACCAACACCAGTTTCAGATACTATGTGCTAATTGGTGACCAGCTTCGAGAGGTATTCCCGAAGTTCCAATGAGAAGTCATGACCTGTGGGGGCAAAGCCTGATGATCGTGAGGACAGTTACTCAATGATCACATTGGGTGGCGGTTGCGCTATATCGTGAGCTAACACAAGTTGGAAATATGAACCACTGAATTTTGACCCAGTGGCTCAATGGTAACGTGCTGGCCACGGAACCTGAAGGTTACGGGGTTCGATCCCTGGTGGGGTTGTGGGTGCGCACTGCTGAGAAGTCCCACGCCAGGATAAAACGGGTGTCCAGTGCTCCCAGGTTCCCTTTGTTCCTCCAACTGATGTCAGTCTACGATGAATAACAACTTGAAATATTTCCAAATCCCCCCAACTCCTTCAAAATACAAAATATGAGAGCTTCTCAGACCCTGCTTGTTAACTCATATAATGCTTGCATGGCTTTTTTAAAACTCCAGCTGTTACTTTCTCAATTAACACAACTTGTAACTGATAGTAGACATTTGAGTCAGCATTACGTTTGTTTATGAAGAATCATTCTTCATCCGAAAAAAGTGATATTAAGTACCAAGTTTTTACAGGTAACAATTATATCAGTCGAAAAGTGGGAAACGTGAGTCTCACATAATTGTCATTGGTTGTGTTACTTCATTTCTTTTAAAAGTAATTTTACTGATGACTTGGTCGGTAACGCTATTGTATAGCTCGATTCAAGAGCTTTCGATTGATCCTTAATTCGGAAAAAATTGTACGTTGGGTGAAATCGATCTATTATTGGTTGTTTGGTTGTTTCATCTTTATAAATTATGGTGCGTTGTGGTCAGGTAACTTAGTTGCATATACAGATGAATCAGATAACAAGCACCAGATATTGTGTTCTGCTGTACCCCGTGGGGAAAGCCGAACTGCATGACCCATTGTGTGAGTGGATTGAATGTACGACACTGGACACACATATTTCAGACCAATCACGTGCAAGGTCAGCTTTAAGACTGATTCGACAGGATCACATGCTTAAGAAAATTACAACCAGACGAAGTTATAACAACAATAAGTTATTGGTTTCTTCTAATGCATCTGACTGGTACACGAGAGTAACTTAATAACTGTTATCCTCGTTTACCAGTAAACATAAAGGTTAATCTTAACGTAAAGGCAATGCACACCCTTTTGAATTGTCTGGGAATCTATTAGAAAGCATAATGGAAAGGTAAAAAATCACCACTTACCGTAGATTGAGATAAGATCCAAGAAACTACATTCCATCGAGGTATCAATGTAGAAGCCAGCATTTCGTTATCCGGATAAAAATAAGTCACTACATAACGTAAAAGACATACACGAAGGCTTTGGCTTTCTGGAGTTGCAAAAAATTTCCGCTGAAAGAATCAAAAGAAAAAAAGAAAACCTTACAATCGTATTTACCACTAACGTATCATAGCTTCGAATAGTGTTGCTAAAGCATCCTTGAAATATTACATTTAAAACACCAATATGTAGATTATGAACTTACTTGGAAAAAGTCCTGATAACGATGGACGGGCACTCTTGGCACACAATGAACATTTTTCATCATCCAACGAACCCACTGTTCCATTTCATGTGGAATCAGAGTTTGGGTAAAACACTGAGGTGTTGTGATTTCCAAGATTTCAGAAAGATCTAAAACATCGTAACGTAAAGACATCTAAAGTAACAAAACTTCTGCCATGCAAACAATTCAGGCTTAGTGAAACATAACTAATTGTAAAATAGTTAGAAATTCATGGAAAACAGAATTTCAAACGAATGTAGAAAAAATCATACTTGTCGAAAAAAGTATACTTTATCAATGAAAATGCCACACAAATTATGCAATTTATATTACTTGAAAAATAAGAAGATAGAGATGAAATATTCTGCAGCATGTCATCCCATAGACGCTTCATAGGATCTAATCGTGCAACACCATGCAGAAGACGAATAAAATCACGGCCGATCTGGGCGCAGCGGTCAAACTGAAGGAGTAAAAGGATAAGCATCGACTTCTGTTACTCGTAAACAAGGAAACAAATTTTTATGCAGCTGTTATAAAAATTCAATTACAAGGCAAAACTCAGAATAAAAAATAAATAAACGTAAAAAACAGCCTTTTTCTAGGATAATTAGCTACTAGATGAGGATTAGTTTACAGAAAATCGCGCGGATTCTTCCAACTTAAACACCTATTCCAAAATACAGAGGAAATATTGCAAAATTCAAGAAAACCTGGACACCCTGAAAGCTGAATTACGAAGACTCCAAAGGGGCTACAAGGATTATTGTTGGGTTATTATGCTTACGACGTCCTTTTGTATTTCGTGTCATTTTTTGCCTCGTGCAACTGCCAGTAACGATTACAGCATCCTTAACACAACCACATACCTATCATCAACACTTGCTTTTTTGATACACTGAGTGCTAACCAAAAAGTCACAAAACATCATTATGCTCCGGGAACGACTGCGTTATAGCAGCTAAAAGTTCGATGTTTCACCTAATTTCAATCGCATCAACCTTCTATGTGCCAAACACGGTTATGCTATATACAGATTGAGTAAACAGCAATATTGTTATCTTTCTCCTGGTTTTCGTCTTACAGTATTTCAAGGTTTCACCACTGCAAACGATTTTGATGATAAACATAACTAGTGAACCCAACGAACAATAATTAGATACCATACTTTACACAACTATAGTTTCAGCGTCTCAATCTGAGATTTTCCACAATTAAACAGTGAGGAAATTACTCGCAAAAAGGTTTCTGAGAAACTTCATGACTACTGCATGAACAGTCTTGCGAATTTCAATTGATGCCCGTCAGAAACTGAGAGTAGAGAGTCGACTTGGAAAAAGGTATCATATTAGCAGTCTGGAAAGGTGGTAAGGTGGTCGACACATTCCACCACTTCACCCCCTATCATTAAACTTGGAGTTGTTGGAGACCAGTCCTAAGGCGTCATCTTACGTTTGACAGGTGCCAGCGAAATGCATGGCTAACATATTCAGATTTCTGCTTAATGCTTTCACTAAATCCTGGATTTTGTCAGCTTTTTCAGCCAACAAGACGATATCATCTGCATACTCCAAGTCATCCAGATGATCTCCAGGGAATAGGTCAATCCCGGTGAAGTCAGTCGTACATTGGGCGATGTCCATTAGTAAGTCTGTGACGAAATTAAATAGGAACGTTGACCGCTTGCATCCCTACCGGATATCACTAGTTGTCGTCAATTCAGATGACAACTCCTCTTCACAACCCCTTATATGGCTGTGATTTCTAGAAGAGATCTTTGATTAGCGTTATATACTTAGTCGTTACTCCCTTCACATCCAGACACTGCCACAACACGTTACGGTCGACAGAGTCAAATCCTGCCTTCAGGTCAAAAAGGCGTCGACCACTAGCCAGCAGGTATGTCTATATTGCAGAACCTGTCGAAGGGTGAAGATTTGACCGAAATACCCTGGTTCAGATCTGAAACTTGCCTGGATTTCTCTAATTTACTCTTCAGTTAAGCGTCGGATGACTATGGGCCCCAGGGTCTTGGACACAATATTAGTCAAACTAGTTTTTCTATGGTTGTCACCGGAAGATTTCTCCTCCTTATACACTGGGATGATCAGTGAGGTAGACCAGTAGACCAGTCTGACGGTACCATCTCTGATTCCTATACACTACCTAGTACCTCCATCACCTTTATTAGCGATTTCCTACACCCTTCCTTGAAAACTTTGGGTGACAAACTATCAGGTCCTGCTTATTTGCATCGTTTCAGATTCGATACAGCTTTCTTAACTTCAAGGAGATTTGGAGAACCGATATTCACATCCCATTCAGGTCCAGGCTGGATGCTAGGCAACTGAAGCGTTACAGAAGGTCAGTTGAACTATGCTTCAGAAAGTTCTGCTCAACATTCTAGCTGCCTATCCTGGGAGGTCATCAGAGTTCCATCCTTTTTGGTGATGGTTTCAACAAACATTGTCTTCTTCTTACAGGTACCCTTAATAACCCTCAATAGTTGGCGAGTGTTACCCAACGCTGATGCCTTTTCCATCTTGCTCTCACCACCCACCACTGCTCGCGATCGACGCTGAGACTCTTGGTCAACTTACGTTTAAGTCTTTTTCGCTCTTCATCATGGTTAGAGCCATCTAGAATCAGTCTTCTTGCATTAATCAGTTCAGATGACGTCACGGAAATCCAATAACGTCTGCTAACCTTTGGAAACAGGTTACCAACTGTCTTTGCTTTTGTTTCTACAGCAGACTTAATATAGCGCCAGGTTTCCTTAGGATGAGCATTGCTGTCACGTTCAGATAAATGCCTGGCTAACTCCTCTTTAAAAGCGTACTTGGCTTTTTCACCTACCAGTCGAGTACAGATAGGCATCAGAGCCTCCTGTTTCTTGCAGCCAGTAAAGCGCAGACATAAACGACCTCGTACTACCGTGTGATCCGAGTCAAAACTGGTACTTGAGAAAGAGAGGCAATCCGCCAGCAATCCTTTCTAACAATGGCTCACAGCAGTGTGATCTATCTGTCCACCGTTGATTTGTAGTAGAAGATAGAGGTGAGACAGTGTCTCTCATGTCTAAAGTTAATGCTGGCCAAAAACAAGTTCCCCGCGTGTAGACAGAACAGTATAGTGGTGTAGCCACAAAATCCTGCCGCTCTTGAAATGATAAATAAGAGACTGCACTGTCTGCTGTTATTCTGGTTTGCCCAAAGTTCAGAAATTACGAAGAATCTGCCCAAACCCAAGCGTGAGAAATGTTTTCTTTCACTAGCTCCAGGTATAACCACACACTTATCATGGCTAATAAATTATTAGCATTTAATCCAAGACCAAGGTCGAGTTGGGTGTAAGGTTTAACTGTTTAGCTTTAAGGGTATATGAGTTTGAAATCTGCTCATAACAGAAAACAATTAGTCAGAGGTCGTTTTCTTCCGAACTGGCAATAGTAGCATGACCCCCAGGTCGGTATTTCGTCGTTTTGTAAGATAACAAGGTATGTTATTTTCTTCCTAGTTACGTGTTACAGATAAGGCAATAGTAATCACGGGTGACGCGATTTTATGGTGCGCACACTAATAAATCATGATAATGAATAATGAAATGATGTTATGATCTAGTGTGAGCTGTTTATTTTGGATTTAACCCACTTCGAAACAGTGTGAACACTTGAAGATACACAGTCGGTGTGGCGTGAAATGATGACATATGACGAAATTTCCGTTAATTATATCGGATATTTCAATAAAAAATAAGAGCAAATTTTCTATTGGCTTGGAAACACTACCAATGGATCAAGGTCAGATGAGTGGAAAAATGATGACGAAACTTAGTAATTCCATCAGGAAGTCCTTGATTTTGTGTATCGTAAATGGGTGATCCTATGAGATATGAAATAAGCTTTGTGATAAAGAGATGCTACTAAGAATACATAAAGACACCCCAGTTGATACTTTTACAAGTTAATAAAAGACGGTTTTCCTAGTTAGTGCAGCATCAACGTGTTTTGAAGCAAGAACGAAACCTATTTGCGTTCTTTACACACACCTATCAGTTTCGGCATCTGCTGACTGTTGAAACTACCGTGGTTGCAAAACCTTTTAGTGCTTCATGTGTCCACTCTCAGTTGTTTATTTCATGATGAAACTAAATTAAAATGTATCAATGAAAAATTTATGCACAATGATAAGCTTTTAGTCTAATATTACTAAATAATCCCAATTGTTCGTGGGATCGCGTGTAGTAATTTTGTGCGGATTCTCACCAAATTGAAAACTTATCACTGTGTAAACTTTTAGTGGAGCTGTGGCTCAGTGGTTTGAGATAACTATCAACTAATGGGTTACGGGTTGGAGCTTCGCTCCACCCACCGAGGTTTGGACAGCCAAGTAGTATCACTAGCCCTCACACGATAGGTGTGGCTAATTGCCTACTGCACGGGTGTGAACAGGGTGACTGAATGAGTTGTGTTGCGTTCCGTGTAAACTTCCCATTAAAATAACTACTTACAAAATTAAAATGGTATGGCTACTGGTAGAAACACATAGAATTCTGTATGGTTCACTAACAGATTGAGACCAGATATTCACATCTGGTCTAAGTAGCGGTAGATGAGTTCACTCGAGAAATGTCATTGTAAGCTCCTAACACAACCGGTTTTTAAAAGATTATTTAGGCAACTGAAAGGTGGCGAATATAAGCAGTGAGTTAGCGAGATTCAATCAAAAAACAAAAAGTAATTATATACTGAATAACTTACATTCTTTCGAATAAGTTCGTCAACAAGAGCTAACTCTTTTTGTCGCAGTTTACATAACTGGACAGTTGAACTAGCAGAAGAGACACCAGAAGACTGCTGAGGCAAATAGTGATCTGGAATGAGCCTGAGCAGGGTATATACAGTTAGGGGAAGCAAAAACGGCTGTCGCTCTAGGCTGCTTAGCCACTCTCTAGTGAATATTATTCAGGAGTCAAACCAAGTTACTTGTTTTTTTCCAGAAGGTCTACCATGGTGTCTATGAGCCACAAGTTTTGTGGGCTGATATCTCCAGCTACAAAAAATTCAGAGGGAGAAGAGGAATTTACTTGTCATCCTCCGATACACATGTAGCATCAAGACTTCGACACTAGCCGTTTTCGTCGATATCAATTCACCCAGCAGACAAATAAGGTTTGACCGAACAGACTGAACCATTTTTGGCCATGTCTCTGCAACTAGACGAGTCATTTCAGACAAGACATAGGTTAAATTGTCCCGAGACGTTAAAACAATATCTGTGCAAAACGAGTGTCTGGGGTCAGGTTCAGTAAGTGCCAGGTACAACAACCCAGCCTGCAATGCTCTGTGTTCCTCCTCAGAACCGGAACGATTGGCCTAAACACTTGTTTACGAATTACTTTAATGTACCTGAGAGTCAACGACATTTGCATCGATCTCTCTTAGCTTTTTAACGAACTTCCCAGCAGACTGTAAGGTCTGAAATCGAGAAGTGTTAACTAATTAATGTTTAGTTACTAGTAAAAACTTAGGAGGAGTATCTAACTGTGTTAACTTTAACAATGGTTGTATCTGAGGCTCCATCTGACAAAATCTGACTTGTGCAACCTCAAGGCCAAACGTTTGCTTCGCTAAACAGAGAAACAAAACTTAACACGCAGATCTTTATGATGAGGAATTCTCAAGTGCATATTTCCTGAGTCCTGCTTCCACATCATTCAGAAAAACATATTTATTGAGAACGGTCACAGTTCCTCTTCACGTCCTGAAAACCCGGATGGATAAAGACTACGCTTATTATTAAATGGTTTTCTCCTAATATTGTTGCTACCCATAACTGAAGAGTGTACAGAAAATCCCTAGAATGCCATCCATCTGTACCGCAAGACTGCAACTCGGTATTCAACATCCTTTTGAAAGCATTAGGCCAAATGGCCGTAATATGCAGCTTTCAGTCTCAGCTTTGAGAAATAGGCGTAACATGTCAAATTGCTGCAGACGGTTGCAATATTCAGTATCTGTCTAACGGGCCTGTACAAACTAGTTGACTTCCTCTCGCTCCCTTCTTGGTCTTACGTGATGGTTCCAGGTCTCTGGCGGATTCCGATGCAGTAGATCCAGCCACTCATCTGCCATAGCTCTCGTGTACAGAACAGGTGGTTAGGTGCTGGTCGGCTGATAGCGAAGTAGACTGAGCTTTTGCTTGGTTGAATTCCAGCTTCAAAAGCAGTCTGTCACAAGCTCTTTTTGTTACAAACCCATGTTTCACAAAAAGATGGTGTTTATAACAGTGATTAAGCTTCTACCTGCATTTGTAGTGTGTGTCAGTTTGACTCTTACAGGAATCAAATGAAGTAGCCTTCTGAGGAAAGATTGTTCAAAGGCTTAACTCTATGGGAGTAGACGTTGTGCCTGATTTAAAACCCTCACGTTCTTGACTTTCTGAGTTTGTCCTCTAAAACTGACACTATTACTAAGGTTAAGCGACAGAGTTATTGCTCATGGGTGTTTCAGGTATCATGGAACATCATTGAATCCTCTATCGGACTTCAACACTTCAGATATAGGCCAGGCACTACTTGTCGTTCCTTACATGTTCTAAGCCCGAATCACTGACCAGAACTGACCGACGACCACTGGATGCACACTGGGCTTTATTTTCCTCTCCATAGAAAGCACGAGAGGAAATGGTTCCGAAATGCAGATAATATCGTGTGAACCTTTTTAAAATTTGATGGAAGTATGTACAATCAAATTTTCTCAAACTTCGTTTGAGAGCTACTAGCGCCACGTTTTCACAAAATGTCCTGCCACTGTCGGTGTACGACTTCAAGTCATGTGGCACCAAAATGTATGAACTTCCTCTAGCTGTGATATTCCCAGTTCTACACCACTGTGACCATGGACATGACATACACCATGTTCTGAGCTTCCAACTTTGCAGCTTTTAGGGTGAAACGCAAGGTCATTTTTCATTGCCTAGTTCTGAAGTTGAGTTAAATCTTCCTCTAAAGGAATGCTATTTTCCTTGTTTCTGATTTCTCCTGGCAGTCACATGTAGTCAGTGAAAAGAGTGATTTCAAATGCAGCCAACAGAAGCAACTCGTTTCTTTGTGTCAGAAATATAAGTGGCCTTGTTAATGAACCCTGGTGAACTGTACTTAAACATTCCCTATCTTCAAAGGTGGGAAAGGTTACTCGAACTCAGAATAGACAGCCACTCACTCAAGTTGGCAATCAGGTGGTTTGGCTTCTACTATCTTTAGCCTATCAGTGAAGCGACCGTGATTAGCTCAACCAAACACCATCCAGAAGTCTAACTAAGTAATATGAACTCTGCCTAGACGATTGATGAGCAAGTTAGTAACGTAAGAATACTCCTATCTGATTCCTAATTGTCGGGGAGTAAACAATTTGTTCGTCATAGGGTGATCCCTCCGTTCAAGAAAAACTAGCGACCCTGTTACTTCGGAATGCGTGGATAAGAGTGATCTGCCTTTGCTCACCTTGGTCTTTGAGGATTGCCGTTAGATAACCCGGCTTCCAGAAACTGGGCCATTTCCCTTGACACAGAGAATTCCTGAGTGAATTGCTCAATGGTTCGGCCAAGACCGGTGCTGCTTCCGGTAAAACTACTGGATAGAAAGGTATCTTTTGCTTCCGGTGGCAGTTTACTTCCAAGCTGACAGCCGAGAGACATGCTTATTAGGTGGTCCATGATGTAAAGATTTGCAAATTCTGACCAGATAGGAGTTCAGTCGCTAATGTCTCTACTAGTCAGCCTATCGTGCTGCATCAGTTGAGCAACTCTCTCCTACCTGTTGGGACGATACAGAATGACAAGATAGACATTTGGGGCTAGAAACAAATGCGTTTTTAAGCTTAAATTGATGCCAGTTGCCGGTGGTTCTCATTGCCTTCGTGTAAGCTTAAATTGCCTGTTTAAATATTCTGTCTGTTCGTTACCATTCAACTTGCTTTCGACCCACTAGTGCCAATTTTACCCGAGTAGTTCGCAATCAGAGTTACTACCTGAAGTGGCTTGTGGCTCCTCGCAGCTGACAGCTGAACAGGCTTGCTAATGACATAGATTTTGTCAGGTACGGTTCTCCAATACATGCTCACATGCCATCTTAAACGGTCAGCTTCCCCATCTTTTTCCTAGTTCGATTCGAAGAGCTGGTATGCTCAATCACCTGATGTTCTAACAACATTTGCTGGAGAGCCAGGTTAGTTCTTCTAAAGACTGTTGGAGGCCAGTAGCAACATGATTCAAAGGAGGAAGGACTGCGAGACAACCTATGAAGAATTTTTCGTTCGCTAAGATGCAGTCTGTGCGAGATGGCGTTTCAGTGACCCTCCAACGCACTACTGATATCACATTTTTCATTAGTTCCATTTCCTCAAGGACTTTGAGGAAGCCGTCTTCAGTGGATCAATTACTTTCGCTTAACCCATGATCTAAAAAGTAGACCAGAGGTGGGTTCGGATATCCTGGGACCTAGAAATACTCGTTTGTCTCAGTTTGAGAGGACATCTGATTGCTTGTAACGCATGGTTGCTGAGGTCAGAAGATGGCTCCTAGTAAATGACCCCCACCAGGCACCTAGCAGTCTTGGACAGCTCCATGGAGTGACAAATAGATTCCTCAAGGTAGTTCAATTTACGAATGTAGATTCCGTTATATGAGGCCGGGAACTAATACAGAATGTCACCCTACTCCTCTCGCTAACTCTCCTGCCGTTGTGAAGCACTGATGCTGATAGCAGCTAATTCATGATTTGGAATTTTAGCAGAGGCTCATGTCTCAGTAAGATCTCTAACATGACTGTTAATGTTTTTCTTAGTTCCCACAAGTCCTCTAGCTAACTAGACAAGCTTTCTGCTTTTGCGTGGATGCAGTTTGTGCATTCCACCTTGAACGTAACTACCGAAAATTTTCTTATTTCCGAATTGTTGACAGGTTTGAAACCTGCCCAAGTGCGGTCTACCAGAGCTCCCAACACCTTGCCAGCTTCTTGAGTCCTTACAGCTTGTCAAAGAAACAGCCAGCTTCAGTCTTTCTTGTTGCCGTCGTTCTCAGAAGCTTGGCGACCCATCAGGTAACATCCGAATTCCAGGCAGTAAACGACACCTGTCTACCCAGAACGCCCCCAATATGAATGCTCTTGTTTGAGAGGATAGAATGAAATTTGATCTTCTTTGGCCAAGAGTAGCCTCTCCTTTAAGGTGCCTGTAAGCTTCATGATATGGTAATAACAAATATTTTATTCGCATATCGGCAGTTTATTATGGGAGAAGCCAGCCTACAGACATCACCACACTGATGTATGTTGAAAAGTCTACAAGATTATACGGGTCCTGAACGGTACGGAAGGAAGGTCATTAAATTCTATCAAAAACATCAGGATATTCCACCAGCCATGAAGTAAGCGAGAAGATACCACTTTTCGGCATATACTGAGTGTTGGAGTTTAGATAGTTTTCAATCATGCTCTTTTCGCCATTGGTGACACCAAGGTCACGCAAAATTCCAATTTTCCTCTACAGCCAGTCGACATGTTTGATTCGTCTTCATAGTCCCCCGTTACTCTAGATGAACGCCTATTTTACCATAAATTCCTACTCTTTTAGCTTCAGAGACCAAGAGAACCCACACTGACGATTTCACGAATCCGTGAGTTTCCATATAACCATGCAATCCAAGTGGGTATTTATTCAAGTGTTACCGTCGACAGCAATATAGATCTTCTTATGGAAGTTCTATTCATGATAGCCATGGTAGGCGTCCTCGTTACCCATGTTTTCAGCACTCCTTTTATGATCAGACTCTTAACTTTGAAGCGTGCCTCGACTGTCACCTTGTGGTCGATCTGCAATCATTCTGCCACCATGTGGGTGGTCTAGCGGTGTTCTTACACTTTCTCTGGCCTTTGGAATGCAGGATACTAGCAGCATGTCCTCAGCACCGTCCGAGTTAGAGAATTTCAACTTTGAAACTCATGACCATCCCTTGATTACTGGATCAGGAAGGTATGAAAGCCTGGTTGCGGCTGCTGGCCTGATACAGTTTGGATCGAGTTGGTCGCGCACACCTTCTCAAAAACCCTATCTTTTTACGCTGAAGGCAATGTGTCCGATCGGAACAATCCATCAGATTCATGATAATCACTGAAACTTTTTGAGCAGCCATATTTTTTACTGGCTAGCGATTATCTGGTGTGCTGCGTGCATCCTCAAGTTTTAATGTGCTTTGGCTCCAGATGTAATCAACTCGATCACTTGTTTGACAAGCGCGTTGGTGACTCACGTGCCTTCAGCAGATCCGATCTCGCTGAAGCCTGAGTCTTGGTCCCCGCCTTTTCCGAATTATCATGTTTAGGATCATTCTCAGTGATTCCCATCTTCACATACAGGACGGATTTACTTGGACTAGAAAACCGACTGCTTTTGTCGACTAAAACAGGTGTTCATACTTCGCCCTCGACTTATTTAACCGATGTAACTTTCGAATTTTCCGTCCCATCAGTTGACGAATAGACCTAAACAAAGGGGTCTGGGAGTGTTGACGCTATTTCACTACTGAGGTGAACTATACCTTTAGTCATACT